TTGTTGTTGTTGTTGTTGTTGTTGTTGTTGTTGTTGTTGTTGTTGTTGTTGTTGTTGTTGTTGTTGTTGTTGTTGTTGTTGTTGTTGTTGTTGTTTTTCGTCTTTTTCTTTCTCTTTAATCCATCCCCAAAAGCAAAATCCCATTACCGTTCCCATTATCATCCGCCAAAAGCAAAAAAGTAAGCAAAGCCAGAGTCGAGAGTCGAGAGTGTTGTGTGTTGTGTTCTGTGTGCTGTGTTTCCATCTTTTCTTCTCCGCATCCTCATCCTCATCCTGTGTCCTGAAACTCCCCAAAACCAAAACGCCGTCAAAAGCCAAAAACGCCAAAAAGCAAGAAGTCATGGTAGTCGCAATGCTGGTGGATGATTTCCCTCCCTCCTCGATCCCCAAGTTCTCTTGTCTTGCGAGACTTTTGGGTTTCATGTGATGGGGCGGTGGTACTTTCCATCCAAGTGAACCGTGTGTGTGGTGGAGTTTCCTAACTCTTTTCTTGTCTGGTGGTGTGGTGTTCAACCGGGGTTGAACCAGTCGGCGCGGTCGTCTTCGTCGGAGCTGGTGTCGTCGGCTTGTGGGGGAGCCTGGGGGGCTTGAGCCGTCTGGTGGTTGTTTTGGCTGGCCTGCTGCGCAACTTGAGGCATCTGCTGAGCGGCTTGGTTTGGCTGCTGTGTGCCCTGCTGGCTGATAGGAGCGTTCGTCTGCGGGCTGGCCTGCTGGTTGCCCTGCTGGTTGGCAAGCTGAGTCATCTCCAAACGATTCATCTGCGCACTCAAGAGCCGCATCGCCTCCGCCTGCTGCTGGTAGAGCGCCATGAAAGCTTGCATCTGCAAAGCCGGCGATGGCTGGGGTAGAGGTTGGGTCGGCGGCGGAGATGGAGCTCCAATAGCCACAGGAGGAGATGCGGTGGGGGCGACGGCAGGAGGAGTAGCGGCTGGCTGGTTGAAATATGGGACCGCCTGAGTGTTGGATGGAGCCGTCGAAGATGTGCTGCCAGAAGCGGAAGGAGCGGGAATCGTGTTCGAAGCGACATTGGTCGACGTCTTTCTGCTGGTAGCAGTACCAGGGAGAGTGTCGCTCGACGAAGTGTGAGCAGTAGACGCATTGGATACAACACGAGCACGACCGCTGCTGCGGGTGGAGGACGTGTTGTTGCCTGGAGTCGCCATGCTGCCGGGTGTAGTTGAGGTCGTGCTCCTTGAAGTCGTCTTGCCGCCAGAAGCACCACCGCTGCCAGTCGCCGTCGAGTTATTACTCTTCTGCTTGCCCTTTCCGCGAGGCTCGGCAGGAGTTGGGGAGCTCATGTCGGAGACGGTGGGATGTGTCTCGTATCCAGCAAGCTGACTACTCGTCACAGGCGCGCCACCGGGTGGAGGTCGGAAACCGTACGGCAAGTTGGGCGTGAGAACGATGGTGGACGCTTCAGAGTCGTTGGTTGCGGTGGTGTTTGGCGTGCCGCAGCGACTGCTGTCTGGAGTGTCGCCACCGGCAGGAGGACCAAGGTAGTATTTGCGAGCGTTGGCCGTCGACACACGCTTGGGCTTGCGGGTGTCGGGGCGATGAGGACCTGTGGTGTTCTTGTGATTGTCTATGTCGACACCGCTGTCTGCTGCACTGTCGTCGGTGAGTGCTTTCGTCGTGCTTGGGTATTTGCGCTCAATCGAAGCCTTGAAGCGTTGTGCGTCTTGATTGAATGCACGCATGTCGGCGTCGCGTGAACAAGTGAAGCGCGAGACGTTGTCGTCATTGGCGAGTGAAGTCTTAGCAGCGCGTGAAGTTGGCTGCTGATTGCCAAGTGAAGTTTGCTGCTGATTGGCACGTGAAGATGCTGGCTGAACCGCACGTGATTGCTGCGAGGGCGAAGATTCGCGAGACGGCGAGCGTGAGCGAGACTCAGAGCTGGTGGTTGACATGGCTGGGTCAACGTCGGTGCTGCGAGGGAAGCGCTTGGCACGGCGAGGGCTTCGAACACCAGTCTTAGGCGCTGCGGCAGCATTGCTTGGAGCCAAGTTTGGGCGACTATCCATGATGTTGCCTGGGCGACGCTTGGGTGCTGGCGACATGTCCTCAGCGGCGAGCGCTCTCCGCATCTTGGCCACGCCCTCATCCTGCTTCGCGAGTGGCGTGAACTCAGCTTTCAGTCCTGTGGACTTGCCAGGAGCATTTGGGTCGTAGGCGGCGGATGACAGAATCTGGCCAGTGCCGGTATGCTGGACATATTTCAATGGTGACACCTTGGCACTTGGGTGGTTTGACATTGGAGAAGTCTCTGCCTCTTCTTGAACCGGCTTGCGAAAGGCTGGGTGGATAAGGCCAGTGCGTGCCAGCTTCTCGTTGCGATGGCGAATGGCCGCTTCCATGTCGTTCTCGTCAAACTCGAAACTAGACTTGGAAGAATCTGACTCTTGGTCAAAAGACTGGCTCTTTGTGGTCTGCACCTCATGGCCCTCGCCGCCGCTGTTTTGGAGTGCCGACGGTGCAAGAGTGGCACGACGTCGCTCGGTTCTTGACTGCTGGTGGCGTGATTGAGGTGTCTCAGGGGCCCGGTTGTCCTGAACACGAGAAGTGCCAACACCTGCGGTAGACTCCAACACATCCTCAAGCTGCTCAAAGGCAGTAGCCATTGCTGGGGTGTTGGAAGCCTGTGGTGGAGTCTGCTCATATGTCTGGAAAGCAGCGATGGAAGGATCGTTGTGAAGCTCTGGATAGATAAGGTCGACAGTTGCAGACGTGACCGAAGTGTCTGGCGTTCCCACGGACGGAGAGCGTGTAGGCCTCATCTGCATCTGGTCCTGTGGTGTTGGCCTAGTCGGCGTGACTTCCTCCTCTTCAACTTCAGATACACGGTCAGGCACGTCGACAACGGAGTTGCGTGGGTCTGTCCACTCCTGAGAGTAGACGCTTGGAGAGTATCCGAAAATGGTCGACTGCTCGTACTCGCCAGGCATGTTGAAACCTTCGAGTCCAAGACCACCGATACGATCATTCAGCTCTTGCAACTGAGCTGGGTTGTGGGCTTGCGCGTCGATGGCGACAGATGCTCGCATCGAGTGCATGCTTGGTGCTGTGACGAGCTTTGGCACATGTCGCTGTCCATAACTGCCATCGCGACTTGGACTCACGCGTGATGAGGAGCTGATGAAGCCAGCGCCGCGCGTGGGCGTGTCTGTGAAGGACGTGAGAGGTGACACCTGCTTGTTCATGTGGCGGATGATCTTCTCATCCGGTGGCGTGTCCTTGGACGGCGGAGTCGGTGGCATTTGGCCGTCGTTATACTTCAGGCTCGAATGTCTGGTGAGCCCCATAGCTGGCGTTGCCATGTTTAGACGCTGAGTCGCGCTGCCAGACTCCGAGCCACTCTGCATGGTGCTAGGAGTGGTCGTAGTCCGGCTGCGGGTGCTCTCTGACCCAGCGTCAACGCGAAAACCCATCGACGTGTTTGATCGTGGTGGCGGCTCGTTCGAATCTTCGCCACCCTTCTTCTTGCCCTTCTTGGGCGAGCTCTTCGCCTCGTGGATGTCGGATGCGCGGCGTGAAAAGATGCTCTTCTTTGACGGAGACCGGCCGAGGCCCTTGGAATCATCGCTGCTTCCCAGCACTTGCGCCGCCTTTGGCGGCATTCTCGTCGTCGTGGGCGTGCCACCCGGCGCCGGCGTCGGCGGACGGGATGCAGCATCCACGTTCGACCGACGCGACGACGCCGGGCGGAAGATATCCCTGAAGGAATCTCCCAAGGCGGCCATGCCGCTCTTCTTCGGAGTCTTCTGTGGGGCGTGGTCAGCGCTATCCGAGAACTTTACGCTCCTCTCCCGGTCCAGAATCGGTTCTGTGTATCCTCGCGGGGGTGGCTTTATTGGCTCTGAATCGGACACTGGCATTGGCTTCTTGGCTTTGGCACGATTGGCAGGGTCGAATCCTTCATTGGCATCCTTGGGAGTGGGATGGTAGACAGGCGTCCTGTTATCAGTGGTCCCAGACGCTTGATGTTGACGATACTCAGCTTGGTCCTCGATGATAGCGCGCGGTGTAGGTCGTGGGGTGTGCACAGGGGTAGTGCCGAGATTGAGTTCTTCTGGACTGTTTGCACGCTTTGCAGCACGCTCGAGCGACGACATGGTGGTGACCGCCGAGTCGCGTGGCGCGGGTGTGGGTGTGTGCTGGTGTTGTGTTGGTTGAGGTGACCAGCGCGGAATTGGTCGTGCGAGGTTGGAAATCAGGTCTGGCTGACGACACGCCGGGTGAATTTGGCTTGGCGGGGTGCCTTCGCGGGCAGACCACTCCTGCTGGTAGAAGGCGTTTGCTTGGATCATGTATCTATGGCGCTGGACGGTTGCCATGGCAAAGGAGTTCTGGCCAGGTTGCATGTGCTCGACACCGAGCGTGCGATCTGCCTGATCGGCTCGCTCGTCTCCCTCCTCGTTCGCCATATCTGCCACGGTTGTATTTGGTCTGGTTGAAGGGCGACTGCAAAAAGGGTCCGAATCGGCCGAGCAAAATCAACAGCAAACGGCCGGCGGCCGGCAAAGCTTCGGCTGTGGCGAAGCTGGCAACAGCGACAACTTACAATACACCTTTCAAATGCAAACAGCGGCGAGCTCATGCGGGTGTCGTCGACAGTGACCAGCGAGTGAAGAAGAAGGATCTAGTATTGTGCGGTGACATGCAAAGTTAGCAAACTCTTGGCATGGCTGAGGTGAATGAAGTGAAAGTTTACCAAATCGGGAAGGAGCGGGAAAAGCTCACCCAAGACCACGACTTTCAAAGCCCGACACTCCAAAACAAAAGCCTACCACCACCCACATCTTCAAACATTCATTACGGTCGGCGGAGTACGGTTTGTGATATGGAAGTGATGCATCGGTTTGAAAATTTAGCAATCCACGATTCAAGATGCTGATACGAACAAGGATGGTATGTAATCCTGAGAAACGCTTCCCCCAACGCCACACGCCCAGCTTGCCTGGTATAGTAGAACGGTGTCTGAGGCACCGTGTCGCTCGCTGCTTTCTCGTCGATTGGAGGCTATAGCAAAATGCAGCCCTTGCCCTTTCCTGCAGTAGAGAGTCAGCGAGATTCAATGCTGGTGAAAGATACTGTACTCACGCTTGGGCTTTTTGACAGTAGGAGGCTCGAGAGCTGCCACGATAGCCTCATCAAACACATCCTTGAGCTTGAACTGCGTCAGTGCCGAGCACTCGACGTACTTGACCGCGCCAAGCTCCTTCGCCATCTTCTCGCCGTCCTCTTTCCTCACTGGCTGCATCTTCTGCTTGGCCAGCTTTTCCCTTACCTGCGCGTCGTCTCTCAGATCTGTCTGTGTCCCGACTATCAGGCATGGCACACCGGGGCAGTGGTGGTGTACTTCGGGGAACCACTTTTCTCGGACGTTCTCGAAGGACGCGGGTGAGGTGACGGAGAAGCAGACGAGGAAGACGTCGGTTTGGGGGTAGGAGAGAGGTCGTAAGCGGTCGTAGTCTTCTTGTCCAGCAGTATCGAAGAGTCCGAGGGTGTAGGGTTCATCGCCGATCCTGTCCAAGTTCAGCTCTCGCCAAAGCATACCTCACCACAACCACCTACATAACAGTAACCGCATAGTTGTCGAAGACAGTCGGCACGTATTCCGACGGGAATTTGTTGGTGGTGTAACTTATGAGAAGGCATGTCTTGCCCACTGCACCGTCACCGACCACGACACATCTGCGGGAAAAGCCACTGTTAGCTGCTGTTCAACCCATCATATAAACGCCTTGTACTTGATTGTGCCGTGTCTGTGAAGATGCCCTATCCTCTGGTGAACCATTGGCTCCGAGTCTGGCTCGCTTTCGCGCGCACAGCAAGCACCCATAGTGATCGCCTCTTGCCGATGTCTCAGACGTGCGTGCGTGTGTGTGTATCTCCAGCGAGGGGGTGTCTACCGAACAAGGCAAAGAATTGGGATATGCGTACTTTATCGTGGCGACGACCATTCTGACCGCTCTTCACAGCAGCAGAGGCGTACTTTTCAGATGCTCCGCACGTGGACCTTCCCGCTCCCGTGACTACTGCTCGCTCTTTCTGTGTCTCGAATGGCGCGCGAAATGTGAGCTGTGGTGATGGGCGGCTTGCTGGCAGTCACGAGTGGAGACGCGGCGGCAGAAGGGACGTTGCGACGGCTGAGCTAAGGTGCGCGAGACCCTGTGTAGATGATGGGTTCGGGGCGGCGACCAGCAAGCACCTGGCAAGCAGGAAGCGGCGGCGAGGCTTAGACCGCGTGTCTGACGAGCGGATTGTTGGCGACAGCAGGGTACGTGTCCGACGGTGCGGCGGTGCGACGTGTGGCGTTCACACAGACTCGATGGGTCGCTTTCCACGTGGTGTCGACGTGCTTGTGCTGATCTGTCGCAATAACGGGCGGGTCGAGGGGAGTGAAGTCGGAGGTGAGGTGTCGTGCGTGTTGGCTAGCAGAGTCGCTGGTGAGCGAGAGCGGCGGGTGGGCAAAGCAGCGATGTGTATGTGTATGGGCGAGCGCGTGGAAATACACAACAACCACGTCTAGCGGACTCGTCGCAAAACACCCAACTCGTCTACGCCTCACACACTTGACGAGACGCCGGATGAAGTCTCCCAATGCACTCGTTCGCAGACGAGTCAGCAGCCGCTCGCAGCTCGGCGGTGAGGCGGGAGTCTCTTGTTCAACCTCACTGCTGGCTGTGTGGGGATTATTGAGTTGCACTGTGGATTTCCCTCGCCTATCTTCTCTTCGTGCGAACTTTTCCCGCGCAAGCACAGAAAGTGGCTTAGCTTCTGTGGACTTTCCGTGTTCAAACGCACAGCCCACAGAGTCCACCGTGTTTCACTTCTCCTTCACCAGTCACTCAGGCCAGCCAGGGGGTTTGCACCGAGCCGGTTCCTCGAAAGCTCATCACGCTGCTAGCTCCGAAAGAAATGGTGCTCTGGCGCGTCTGGAAGAGCAGGGGTATGGCCAACATTTTCTGTTGGCCCTGAAACGAAGCGCCAGCAGCCACTGTTTGAGGAAGAAGAGCCCTTTCGCCAGGGGCATCGCGCTATGGGCTCACCACTCGCCCGTCCGTTACATGAGGTGCATGCTTGTTGCTTCACTCCCCAGGGAGGCGAGGCAGAAGACTGTTAGTGAGGCTTTTTTCGATTTCGTGAGTGGTCGGCCTCAAGGAAGTTCGTATCGAGACTCGAACAGTCCATAGTGCATTGCTGAGCTTCGCGATAATGCCAAGCAGGTTCAGGAGAGAGGCACAACGAAGGCTCGACTAACAGAAGGCCGAAAGAGGTTGGAAAATGTCCACGATTGGCAGCAGGATTGGCATTCTGGCTCGGATGGTAAAGTCCTCGACCTGGATCATCCCTCCCTCTTTCACTATCTTGCACGCCCGTTCTCGAATTCTAGCTTCAAGCGAGGTCCCTTTGGAGAAGTGTGCCTGTTCCGCTGGAGAAGGCATTATCTTTCCTAAGAGGACGTTACATCGTATGATACTTTTTGAGTCCAGACAGCAAAGCAAAGATTACCACCTACATCAGCAAGTTGTATCCGTTTGGAAATGAACATCTGTATAATGCCATCGAAGGTCAAGAAAACGAACACATCATCGCATCAGCACTGTATTACTACGACTCCGAGAACGATCACAGAAAGCTACCTCGCCTTCCGCGAGGACGTCGATAGAGACGACCTGCAAGGATACGAACAACATCTCGTCGTATAGGGCGTCGAGAATTTGCCGATTAGTTTTGCAGGAGGCGAAGACGTTGCGAGAGCAGCGGATGGACGAGCAAGGAAATCTTGTGCCGGGACAGATGAGTACCTATGTGGATGACGGGGATTGCTTTTGCGAGCACTCAAGTGCTGGGTTTCCATGAATACTGGTCTTTCGATACCTATCGTGCAGATATCTTTGCACAGCGATGAACATTGTCCGACCGAGCGATGTGCAAGTTGGATGTCGCAGGGTGACGCACGATCCAGAGGGCAAGCCCTGGACGTGTTTAGCACAAGGGAATCGTTTGAAACGTAGGGAACCTGGAAATGCTCCTGTTCTCTGCATACTTGAAGTGCTGTTGTGCAAGGGAGAAGTGATGTTGAAGGGAGTGGGCCAGATTGTGAGATCTTGGTTGTCAGACCACTCCAGAGTACTTAGTTAGCTTTGGGACTAGGGAGCTTTTCCTCGCTCTTTCCTGAGATACGACATGCACAACTTGATCCTTCTGATCCATCAACTTCAATGTTGCAGTGAGTGCATATCGCCATGGAAGCCGAAGAACGGACAATGCAGCTCTTCATCCTCGGACCAGCCTTCGGCCTCCCCTCCATCGACGCCGAGTGCAATGCCGCGGTAGCGCTGCTGCAGCTTCACGTCCGCGACAAATACGGCCTCGTCCCAACCCACGACCAAGTCCACCGTCTACCATTCCTCATCGACGGCCAAGCGCAGATATCCGGCTACAACAACATCGCCCGACACTTCGCTCACAAGCGCATCTCGAGCGAGACTTCGCAGCTCTCATCTCACCAACGAGCGGACTCCCTAGCCCTGACCTCGTTCATTGAGTCTCAGGCGCAGAAATTACTCGACATCTCCCTCTACGTCGGCTTCGAGAACTACCGCCTCGCAACGAGACCTGCATTCTCGAAAATCCTGCCATGGCATGCGAATTACACACTCCCGCCGAAACGACGGACCGCAGCGAGGACTCGGACGGAGCATCTTGGTGTTTCGAGCATTGATGTCGATAATGTTCATGAGGATATGAGCCACCGACCACCCGGATTTGAGGGTGTGGGCAAAGAGCCGGGGTTCGAAGCAGAGACACAGAAGAGAGCGAGTCTGTTGCTGCCGAAGAAAGAGACGGTCATGAGCCTTTTGCAGCAGCCGCAGCATTCTGCTGTGTTTAAGTTGCATGCGATTGCGGAGAACTTTTTCGAGCCGCTGCAAGAGGTGTTGGGAGATGAGAATTATCTGCTGGGCACTGAGCAGCCTACCGTGGTGGATTGTCTGCTGTACGGATATCTGTCTATGATGCTTTTCCCGCAGCTGCCGCAAGATTGGCTGGCGACGACGATGAAGAGGAAGTATAAGAGTTTGGTGAGGTATACGGAGCGGATACGGGATCTCTTGGGTCTCACGGCGGATGTGGATGATGTTCTTGCACTGTACAAGTGCAAGTCGAAAGGGGAGGCTATCGCGCACCGCCAGGCAGGCAAGATGTCTCTACCTTACACTCTGCCACATACGCCGTCTTTCAGCAAGACGTTCGCAGAGATTCGCACTGCATTGTGGGAGCAAGTCCCTATCCTCGGCACACCACAGCTGCAGCTGCACGATGCGAAGCAATTCCCCTTCCTCGACAGGAACCTAGCCTCCATCTCCATCACTTTCGCGGCCTCCCTGGCAGCTGCTGGATACCTCGCCATTCGGACTGGAACATTAGTCTGGCCGCATGGAGAGGAGGTTCAGATCTTTGGGCGGAAGAGACTGTCAGATTTTGGGCATATTGGAGCTGCTCTTGCCGGGGTGACGCTTCTGGGATCGCAGGCTGGGAGGGGTGGTTGATGTAGTGGGTGACGAGGACACAACTGCGAATCTCCACTTTGATCATTTACGGGAAGCCTGATCATATCTGTCATCGGAATCAAGCCTTGACCGCAGTACACAAGGCGCCAATAGCTTCTCCTGCGGCCACCGAAGCGAAACTGGGACTGAGTCAAGGTCCTGCCATGGTATTGCCGCAGCCGAACGCGAGCTCGTACGAGGCTCGACTAGACGAGGTTGGCCCGCGAGACAACACTGAATCCTCAAAATGCAACAAGCGTCACATTAATCACTAAGGAGGAAGCCTAAGCACATGCCTTGCCTGGGATGGCTTAATTGTCAAGCTCAGAGAGCCGCGGCATCAGCTCCGCTTCAGGATGCCGCCAGTTGCCGCTGTTCGGCATCGAAGTGATCGTCAGCCTCGCAATAGGACCGCGACATAGATCTCAACAAATGCATGTCAGAATGCAAGTCCGCAACAGACTGCACCACCAGATGAGTACACACATACACATGCAAAGCCGTTCGTTCTCCGGTATGCTAGTATACAGTACGTCACGCGATCACAACCCCAGAACCACGGCTGCTTCCCTGCATTTCCATCGATGTGTCGATCTGGCCTGACTTGCGGGGTAGACGTGCATTGAGCACGGGTTGCTTAGATCGCAAATACCTTCATTGCAGCGTCGTTGAGTTGTAGTATGTGCATAGACACCGCTGACAGCATATAAGTTGACTTTCTTTTCCGCAACTCGGAGGACAATGAGATGAAGTCGACATCATCCCCCATCAGAACCCGTCAAACCCCGCCAAGCTCCAACAAGCATATTTCCCCGGGCCTCCAGAGATGACGACGGGTACGTACCTCCCACCTTACCAGGTCTCCCTTCAAAAAATACCGCCGAGACGCCACCGAGCAATAGACCGCACTTGACGCCGTGTGGCTCTTTCACCCCGCGAAAGTGTCCTTCTGGCGCACGGGGTCAATCTGGAGTTGTGTGGGCCTGCGTCATGGTGCCTCGTCGATGCTGCTCTATGGTTTCACCAATCTGGCTGGTGGGTAGCGATTGGGTCCTTGTGGCCCGATTGATGCTGTAGGGTGAGGTGGTAGGTGCTTTTTGGGTGCCGTGTCGTGGGAGTAGTAGCATATATTATGGGAGGTAAGGTCTGGTGGGTTTGAGGTTTTCATAGCCTTTTCAATCTCATCTGTCTTGTGGCTTCACTCAAGATGTTTGGCTTGAGCAACGATCGATATTTCGGCCTCAGGGGAGGATGGCTTACGCTTTGGGTGACGGTCGCCTGTGGAACTGACATGACTCTGTTCGGGTAAGAGAAAACGACCACAAAACCTCCTTCAAGAGACACGAATGCTAAGACATCAACCCCAGCTACGACCAAGGCGTCTTCGGCGGCGTCGTCGTCACCGACGACTTCCTCGACACCCTCGGCCTGCGCGACAATTCCTCCCTCCTCGGCACCGTCACGGCGATCTACGACATCGGATGCTTCTTCGGTGCGATTCTGGCCTACTTCATCGGCGACATCCTCGGCCGGAAGAAGAGCATTCTGCTGGGCACGACGATTATGTCCATTGGCGCGATTCTGCAGATTACGGCGTATGGTGTGCCCCAGATGATTGTGGGGAGGATTGTGGCTGGGGTTGGGAATGGTGAGTCTTGACGACGTTCTGGGGTGTGGTGTGGTGGACGTTGCTAATGATGTTTTTTGATAGGTATGAATACCAGCACCGCTCCTCCCTGGCAAGCCGAGACGAGCAAAGCCGCCTGGTGAGGGAAACTCATTGTTATCGAACTTATCCTCAATATCGCCGGTTTCAGTTTATCAAACTGGGTCACCTTCGGCTTTTCATTCGTCGGCGGAGCCGTGGCCTGGCGCCTCCCCCTCGCATTCCAATTCATCTTCATCGTCATCCTCTACGCCACCGTCCCTTGGCTGCCAGAATCTCCGCGTTGGCTCGTCCAGAAGGAGAGGGTCGACGAGGCGGAGCAGATCTTGGCGGATATCGAGGGCACTGAAATCGAGGACCCATACGTTCAAACTGAGTTGAACGAGATCAAGTACTCCACCGCCTATGAGCTGGAACATGCTGTCCGTATCCGGGATCTCGTCCGGGGCAAGCAAGGCTCCGAGGCTGGCACCTGCACCCTCCGCCGCATTATATTGGGAATGGGCGCCCAGGCAATGCAGCAACTATCTGGTATCAATGTGACCAGCTACTACCTTCCTACGGTCCTAATAACGTCCGTTGGCTTCGACAACCGCATGGCCCGCCTCCTAGCCGCCTGCAACAGCGTCTCCTACCTCCTCTTCTCCCTAATCGGCATCCCGAACGTCGAACGCTGGGGCCGCCGCAAAATGCTCATGTACGCCGCCGCCGGCCAATGTTTCTGCTACCTCCTCATCACCATCCTCCTGCGCTTCTCCGAACTCCGCCAAGAACAGGGGGACACCATCGCGCAGAAGCAGCTCGCCTCCGCGAGCGTGGCCTTCTTCTTCCTCTACTACGTCTTCTTCGGCATCGGCTTCCAGGGCGTGCCGTGGCTGTTTCCCGCGGAGATCAACGGCCTCAGTATGCGGAACAAGGGCGCCGCGTTGGGGACGGCCACGAATTGGATTTTCAACTTCATGGTTGTGGAGATTACCCCGATTGGAATCGACACCCTCCACTGGAAGTTCTACGTCATCTGGACGGTCCTGAACGCCTCCTTCGTGCCCACCGTCTATCTGTTCTATCCAGAGACCGCGGGCAGAACGCTGGAAGACATCGACAGCTATTTCCGCGAACACAAGAATATTTTCGTGTTCAAGGATAAAGTCGCGACCAGTAGCAAGCGGCCGGCGGAGTTTGTCGAGAGGGAGGTTATGGAGGTTCGCAGGCAGAGTAGTGTCAACCCCAGGGCGGCGAGTTTGGCGGCGAGTCATCGTCGGAATAAGAGTGTTGGGGAGATTGAGGTGGGACTGGGCAGGGTTAGTACGAATCAGTCTGAGGGGGTGGAGAAGAAGGGGGAGGGGTTTGATGTGCATAAGGAGAAGGTTTGAGGTAACGGTACATAGCCGGTTTATGTTGTTCTCGGGGTATCTCAAAATGATGATTGTTTCTTCTGCAATGGTTGAGAGGTCCCAACCTTGTGCCAAAATTGAAGCTCTAGACACACAGCCTACAGCTCCAAGGCCCGTCGTCAGTCCAACCGTCGAGCGTCTGGCCTACCATCCCCAGTAACAAAAAGCATCACCACCAGCGCCCCCGCATAAGCAGCCGCAGAAACAAAGTACGGCAATCCAAGACCCCGCCCTCCCATCTCAATCGCCCGCACCCAGACCGCAGCCATCGTCGGAGCGCCGAGCAAAGCTCCGATAGCTTGCACTACGACGAGGACAGTAAAACCACTCCCTTCGTTGCTTTCGTCCAGGACGCCGAGCTCGGGCGAACGAGCGATGGCGTACATGAAGATGGGGAGGACGGAGCCGAGGGCGTAGATGCAGAGGGCTTGGGGATGTTAGTGTTGAGAGTGAGTGGGAGGTGTTGGTGGGATTACCGGTTATTATTGTTGGTTTGGTTGCTGCGAGTCCGACTAGAATGGCGCCGATGATGGAGGCTAGTAGAGCTAGTTTGGTGGAGATGAGGTTGAAAACGAAGTTTGAGCCTTGGTCCGAGGACACTTTGCCAGTGAAGTATCGTGCGCAGGTCGGGACAATGACGGCAGCGAGGAGGATGTTGATTGTTCCTTTGAGGGTGTAGATGTACCCGACCTGAGCTTGTTAGCCCAGGGTATGGCCCCGCTCAATATGTCTTGGATGTGCGCACCTCAGCAAAGCTCCATCCGGTACGCAGAGTGATGTATAGAGCAAGAATGTTGGAGGACGAACTGGCGAATGAAGAGAGAAATTTAGCCAAGAGAACTAGTCGGAAGTTTTGGGAGGCTTTGATGAGGCTGGTGTATTCGGCGAAGAAATTGATAGTACGATGGGCGTTTGGCTGCTGTAATTGGGGTTTCGTTGTCGCTGTTTCGGCGGCGATTCTATCTTCATGCAATAGCGGCCTCTGTTCGCGGTCGTCAATACAGTCATTCAAGCTCGTTGAGGGCGGCGATGATCTATTAAGTCTGGAGTTGTGTTTCGGCACCAGGCTCAAAAGCGGCAGTCCAAGACCGATGAGTACGACTCCTGTCCAGAGCGGCAGCAGTAGTCCATGCGGCATGAGAACTCCTGCCAGCATTGGACCAGCTAACAAGGCAATATAGTCCGTGGACAGGAAATACGAGATGTAGGTCGTCCTGGTGTGATTAGTTTGTGCAGAGCATGGCTCAGATGTCACAGTACGGACCTTTGAGTCTCTGTCCCAGCCAGGTCGCTCATCAAGGCAACTGACACTGACTTGAAAACGTTGTTGCCTCCGCCGAACAGGGACAGGAAAGGCCCTGCGAGGATTGCCGCTGTTGGAATTGATTGAACTCCGCCTACATGCGAGTCAGCAGCTGCCAAATGCTCTGGACCTACACATGAAACGCACCGACAAAAATGATCCATATGAGAAGGACGGCCGTGCTTGTGCAGTTCAGGGCGAGCACCAATCGCCGCCCAATCTTGTCCGCGAGATACCCCATCGGCGTGGCGATCACGAGATCTATCATCACTGTGAGTCTCACGTTACCAAACGGGGTTAAGAGTCTCTGACCACAAGCCTGCATCGCCGTATCCAAAGCGCCCATCATCCAGCCAAGCTTCCGCTGAATATCCTCCAACTTACAGTCGCTTTCAGGAATCTCGCCATGGGCAGGAATTTTGGCTGGATCGTGGACTTGGTAGTAGGATAGACAGTAGCGTAACTCCAAGATCCGATTTAGGGGTAGGGACATGAGTCTGACGCTGAGTAGTGTCATGAGAAGTACAGATAGTAGGGCTGGGACAGCCACATTGGCTTCTCTCTGGGTTTGGTCGTGGGGAGATCTGGGCCTGGGGTCATTATGTCTTGCGTCCTCGTCGTTTTGCCGGTCGCTAGGTGGATTGTCATCCATGGCATATGATGGCCTAAAGGCCAATCACTGAGCGTCCAAGCGATGGAGTTTTTTACTCGAACTCATATGCAGAAAGCCCTTTGAAGGTTCATTGAACTCCGCGGCTTTCAAAGAGTCCTAGTCAGAGCATGGTTTGAGATGGAATCGCAGTCTTTGTGGAGTACCTTCGGTCTACAATTCTGGTCGGAAATGTAAGAAAAGGCTGTACATACAATTCCTCGTAGCATGTACAGTTTCAAGAGAGGTGAGGTTGAGCTATCTCAGACCTCAGACCTCAGACCAACTTGGGGGAGCTAGCTGGATTTGAGCACGGTGTGGTCTGAGCTTATTCACAGCCTTTGTGTGCCACGGTCTGTTTGGCCTCCCATTACCCGAGCAAAAGTACGGACAAATCTTAAGCAGGTTTTCTCCGAAATGGATTAGTTGTTTAGTATGACAACGCCATCGGCTGCCTATGACACTTCAGATAAGAATCAGTGCTACGATTTACGCGGACGTGATAAACATTACCGGCAAGACATTCTTAGGTCTCGGGGAGAAAAATTGCATAGCACGTTGGCGAGTATCCGAAAGTGCCTACTGTATCCGGTCGGTCTCGTCCAGTGGAAATGATATACGAGTATGGTTCGTCGTGTCGGCATCCGGCATCTGCGGCCTCGTTCCTCGAGTGGATCAGTGGCAGCCCAAAGAAGACTCTATACATGCAGATCAGCATGTGCGTATTCCGCCGCGGGCCCCGGCCGACGCACTGTAGCCGTGAACACGGTACCGACAGGCTTGATGTAGAAGTGCAACTTGGCCCTCAACGCCAACGTTCTACTTGATAGCGGATGTGGACGGTACCATCTCTCGATGCGATGCATGCTCGCGGGCTGCCGAAAATTAGACCCGTACTCTTCGTCTGCTATTATACAGAAACGGTCCAATTCCATCATCAAGCACAAGCGAATGTGGTAGTGACATTTGCCAATATTGTTTCGCATTAGTTACCCATGGATCCCGGGCCCACTTGCCCCTTATAACGAACGGCTACCTTGCGGGCAGTGGTCACAAGGGAACCCGGCCTGATAATCTCGTGCCGACACAGTACGAAGAGCCGGATACATGACGCAGCATGGTCTTTAAGCCGAATTGCTGTCAGCCTTCCCGGGGATTCTGATTAGCCGTTCGGCTTAGAGACGCATAGACGTCTTTGACCATGCGAACCATTCAGCAACACAAATAAGGGAGAGTTTCTTGTAATGTGAGTTGCGATCAGGCCTCAGAACTCCCAAACAGATTCGACATCATCAAAATCAAAGTGAACAAAGTGAACAAAGTCAAATCCAAATATCGGGAGCAGGAAAGCATGTAGGGCAAGAAAAGTGATCATCCATGGCACATGAATGCTTACTCAAGTCTGTTCTGCGATCCTCCGGCTTAGTTATAGCGAAAACTAATGCACGAAGGGCGCCATTCACACCCGGGTACATTTGCTCACATATTGCTCGTTCGGCCGAGCTACCTAGTCAGGAAACATCCTAGATGCAGTATGTCTCTTCACCGAACTATTGAATCCCTGCTCAAGTACCTTATAAGCACCGTTTGAACCTCGAAGTTTCAAAAAATATCAACACAATACCCCCTTCGAACTGTGTGCCGGAACTGCTTGCCATCAAGATGACTCAGACACAGCGATCGGCGTCTGAAAACTTCATTCCTTATACGACCAGGAGACGCGTCTGCAAAGCGTGCGATCGATGTAGATTGAAGAAGAACAAGTGTGAAGGCATCTCCCAGTGTTCGCGATGCAAAGCAGACAATGCTGTCTGTACGTTCGAGTGCGTATACTTGTGGATTGTCAACTTTGCAAAGGCTGACATATACAGTGGACGCAAAAGATCGTCCGATAAAGTGTATCCCAAGGGTTATGCTGAGACGCTGGAGCAGCAACAGACACAGCTTGTTGCTGGTCTACGAGAGATGTACAACCGATTGGCAGTGGCAGACGCGTGGAAGGGCGCGACTCTGCCTGATGTCAACGGCCATCCTCTCACTCACGATATCCTGACCGCTTTGGATCTACTGGAGGCCAAACAGGACTGTCGCAGAGACGAAAACCTCCTCGAACAAAGTTCCCAGAAGAGCCGTTCGCGTTCACCACCCGCAAGTAGTCCAGTCACACAACGAACGGACTCGACCACCAGCCTCTCCGACCCCGGCCAGGATCCTGTACCATACACGTGTCACGGTCTCCAAACACCGGCAAGCTCTCAAGAACAGATCGTGTCGCGGTCGCCGATAAAAGCGCAAGCAGCAGACCATGCCCCTGAAGGCGAACAACCCTTCTCAAGATCTCTCCAGTTGCCGCTGCAAGAGCGTGCACAGTCATGTGGAGACCCAATATTCTTCTCAGCACCGTGGGCATACCCGGAGAGCCAAATCAACAGCTTTATGGAATGGGAGTTCGCACAGTTGGAACCCTCGAATCTTGATTACGGCCTCGGCATGTCCGACTTGCACGCGTCCACAATCTGGGGTGGGACTGGCAACTTCGATTTCAACATTGCAACCCTCGACGCAGACACCCACAACATCATTGACGCATTCCCCTGGGTGCCCGATTTGCAAGGCACTAACGCTTTTGATGCATCTCAGAGTCTGTTGGATCTCGACTTTTCCCAATATGTCTCAGCAAAATCTTGAATGAGTCTTTAGATGTGCTTCGGTAGCCACTCAAAACGCGTTTGATTGAATAGATTGAATGTCTCTTCATGGTCTTGCGCATCTTGTCCGGCGCACAAAGCCCTGCTGCCTTGCTTTGAGGGTAGTAGATGCGTGTATGTCATGTATTCTTTGCCCCCTCAACAATTTCAGAATCATGATCCGCCTCTTGTAACGCCGTATCATTTTGCGCATTCGCGTCCGTGTCCGAGTCGATGTTCTTTTCGTCGGGTCGTGGTTTCGCGGGTCCTCTGTACTGAGGTAGACATATTCCGTCGACGAGAGTATTCGAGACACATACCGCCGCTTGAGTTGTAAGAGCTGGAAATTAGATGTCCAGATCTAGACATTTGGCGTTCTCACCGTGCGACAAGGAGTTGTCTTTTTTGCACCAGTACCGTATGGTGGTCATCGAGACTCGCATTAGTATCGACTTCGAATTGAGTACAAATAGAGCGCAAATGGACTTTGAAGGCCAATGGCCGTGTGAGGCGCTTTCGAAGGGAATGAACAATTCGACGCGTCGGAGCCTGGTGTAAAATCGGGCCTCCATTAAAGGCCGTGTTGTGACCGAAAAGATTGACTCACCACTTAAGTTTGTCGAAGAGAAGATTTCGAGATTTGCCACGCTCCTCAGAACTCTTTGGACTTTGCTCGAGGCTTGCAGGAGATTCATCGAGCCCGTGAATGGATGGGCGGAAAGCTTCCGCACTCTACGCCAGGTTTCACAGCCTTGTACAGATTGGTCAATGCGCAGCACGGAATAGCAACGCTCACTTCTGACTTTTCTCGGACACACTTCCGCTGCAGTGATCTCATCACTATCATTCCAAGTATTTCTTTTCCAAAGACTTCCGATCGAGGAGACCCTTGGTCGGCATGAGAACCGCGACAAGGAATGTTCCCGCCGAGAAAGGGACTCGTGAAGCCTGCTAAAGGGTGACATGCGAGCTCCATTATCGCACGTCGTTCACCACATTCCCTTAACTTCAATCGTTGCGCTGTGCGAAAATGTCGATGGGACGTATCAAAGAATGTGTACAGCATGAAAAAGGGATGGTGATGGAGTCTACTTCGCGTTCTTCATACTGGATTAATATCCATCCGTTCAATTCGCTAACAATGGAAATAGATATTACTACTTGCAAAAGAGCCCCATCATCGCAAAAGGCTCCCTATGCCGCCGGTATGATTTGCGATTACATCGAACACGAACCCATCTCTACCGGAAGTGTCAAACTTGAAAGAGCTATCTGCCGAAGCAAAATTGGCAGGAATACCACATGAGCAAACATCGAACGATGGCCCAGTCACATTCATGTCCTGGCTTGTTGGAGTAGGATGGGACTGCTCAGGATACCCACTGGCCAGATATCGCAAGATGGCTTCCACTGCAAGCTTCAGTCTGTTTGATAGGAGCCCGGTCGATAACCATCCGGCGCAGACTGAGATCAAAGACCGGCCAACGAGGGTACGCTCCGGCTTCTTCGGTGACTTGCGCTTCATTACTGAACATAGCAGCATTGCTGCTAGAAGAAAGTCGTGGATGTGTCGAGTGCTGAACAGCTTGAATCGTGCCCACTGATGCCCGCTATTCACGATCTTGGGTAGCGCATTGCAGCATTGCACAATGGCTTCGGCCGCATTGATACATTCAACTGATTTCATGTCCAGCCTGCCGCCCATAAAGCGCTGATAAAGCACGCACTTCGTTCGTTGGAATGCGAATTCTAAGCGGAAGCGGTACATAATGTCCGATGGCGGATTGAGGGAATACTCTTCAAGAGGTTTCACAAGCAGGTGTTCCGGAATTTCCCCTCTGATATTCTGAAGCTCAATGCCCAGTCGCTCGATCGTTTCTCGACATGGCAAGGTAACGGAATGAGAGAGAGTTGTGGCCTTCCCCAGGACCTCAATCACTCGCGAGTAACATATCTGTATTTGGACCAAGGTACATTCTTCCTTAGGCCGTACTGGGCTCATGTGCATGGGAGAGAAATCCACGTCCGTCAAATTGGCCGGGGGATGGGTGTCGCAAAGTCTGAAATCAATAGAGCTTGGATTGCCAGAGATACTGCTAGTAGAAATATCAAGGTCTCGTGCGGTCATCCAGACCCGCCGACGCATCTCGATTGTAAATGGACTGAAACCAGGATCGACGGAGTTGGGAACCTCCCGGTTGAGACCAGCTTGGAAACACAAGCGCGTGATAAAGCTGGTGAGGTGCCACATCTCTGGTAAAATGTCTCGATGGGTGTACATTGAAGTGATACCATATACCAGAAGGGCCTCGATTAGATACGGCCGGACTACGCTGACATTGGCTCGGATCAGCACATGTGCCGCGAGGCGTCGTAGAAATTCGGCGGCTTCTAAGTCTTTCCTGCTCTCGTTTGTATGGCCTGTCAAGAGAGCACCCATGCTGGCCATGCACATAAGTAATGCCAGCCACGCATCGTCAACCTCTGGGGGAGCATCCCAGAAAGTATAATATTGCAGTTGGAATGTGGGTCGGTGTACAATGACTTGGGACACGTTAGTATGGGGTTCCATGTCCTGTGAGGCAGACTTACTTCGGGTTTGATGCCTTGAATCTAGCCTTGATGGAGTCGCCACATCGTCAGTCAACAGCTTAAGTACACACGATTTGCCAAACCTTAAATGTGAAAGTAATCGACATACCATGCTGCTGTCCACACATCCATGTGGCCTTTCTCCGGTAAAAATGACAGAATTTCGTCTTGTGACAATGTCGAAGCCATACCCAAGTGAACATCGATGGGCTCTAAGATGTCGGTTCTGTGGGCATTGTCTTAATTTTCTACCTCGGCCTCAACGTATGCCTTGATATCAGCAATCTGTGGCGGTATCAGTACTGTGCACGATGATCAGAAAAGGCAGAATTCTCGCTTTTACATCGTCAACGATGGACTCCCAATGCCATGGCGCTTTGAGCTGAGTTTGTCCATCTTTACCCAACTTCAGACTCCCCATCATTCTGCCAGCCTGCTCCGTGGCAGTCGAATCGGACGAAGAGGGACTCTCGTTACACCAAGCCCCTGCTAATGTTTGCTTTCTCGTGTTGATGATAATATTCAGTCGCTGCAACTCCTCCCTAGCTTTGAGAGTGTCATTGTCGTTGTATGATATCCTGTCCTTGTATTTGCAGGAAGCCCCTCTGGAGCGCCTGCGACACTGCTCACAGGTCGGCAGACCTCGGTCGCATTTTATTTTGGATAGTCTACATGGCTCGCAGGTAAGCTGCAGCCGCGGTCGCGGGCCTTGCGTGGGTAATGCATCGAACGATTGGCGTTGAAAGGGGTCCAAAGCTAGGTCTGCTTGCATCTCGATCTCTGCTATAGTCAGTATCCAGGAAACCCGTGATTGAGACCGATGCGGCTTACAGAATCGTTCGATCAAGAAACTAGTCAAACAAGATCGACCGTGTAAAACCGAAGCTGAGAGTTTCCACAAGTATCTGCTGTTGTCGCCGGTCTGACCTCGCTGTTGTGAGTGCCGTATCACCTCTCTCGCGTCCAATTCTAAGGACAGGCTTAGTGATTCATGCGAGCCAACGGCACAAGAACATGCTGCAGCCCAACGAGGATACTTCGGCTACAGCGGGCGAGGGGATTTTGCGAGTGTCAACCGTAACTCGCCCTGCCATACCCGACGCATTAGACGCGGTCAGAATATCCACCACGGGCTGCTCTTAGTATGTTAGCCGGCTTACACGCACGTGTCTTCGCCTGCGGTAGATGTCCGTGGATGTCCTCCGGTCTCTTGTAGTTGCTACAACGAACACAATTCCGCGCAGCGAAATGTTGGCCGGCCGGATGAGGCGGAATTGCCGATTTTGGCAAGGTCGCGGAACATGAAGAGTGAGTGGATAGCAATGTTTCAGGAGGTGAGCTGCATTGATTGAGAAGGCTGCACTCGGCCGACATACCCCTAAACGGACAGTACTTGACAGATGTCTCTATCGTGCAAAGACTCTAATTTTGCACTCAGGGCATCGAAGGTCGGCTTGAGATACAGAGATCCGCGTCGAGTACCATGGAGACTGAAATACAAATTTTCGATTCAGTCATGCCAGTACACTGTGAAGTCTTCTGCTTTGGCACCTTTGATTGATTTCCGTCAGATACCACTGAATGGAAAGAGCAATTAGCCTTAGTATCGCGGTATCGGGTGTTCTGAGAGCTACAGTAACCTGCCTGTAATCTTGATCAGCCGATGGCAACTGCAGATGACCCTTGCGCTGTTGTAATCTAGAGAAGAGCGCGTGATCAACCGCAACAGTTCCTATCGTTAAGCGTATTATGGCGTAGCGACACATCCAGTGTTATGAATCAACTCAATCAGATCAATCTAAGGCACTAATCTGATTGAATTGCTCGCTGATTCGCCCACATTGCAACTAGTTGCAACTGATTGATCGAATGTGATTGCTTGGCATTGAGGGATGTAGCCGTTATACCACGCTAAAACACGTAACAAACACGTAAATAAGCACGTGTGCACGGCCGCCGTTAGGGGTTCAGGGGCCTAACGGCTGCCTAAATAGGCAGTAACGGCTGTCTCGATCAATTTCAATCAATATTAGTTGAGTATTGAGTAATTCCAGCTATTAGTTGATCAACGTCAATCAATTTACAGGCCGGATCGAGTGGAGTTAATGAATCAATTCAATTCGATATTGATTGTGATTGAGTTGACCGAGATCACTGGACACATCGATCCATTGAAACTCCATCCCGGCGCCCGAGATTTACGTGTTGATGCCGGGCCTGCCTATGCCGAACTAATCGGAAGCAGTGGCTCTGTGGGTGAATATCCCGTCTCAGAGTATAAGGTCTCATACAGAAGGGGTAACGCCGTAGTATCCGGTTGCGAGCCCCCTTCATCGCGTCGTAAAAAGTACACAATTCGGCCTCTGAGTCTCATCTCTATCTGACCAAAACATCCTGTACACTTCCACGAACGTAGAGCACCAGCCACGATGGACACCGTCGATCGCGACCTGGAAGCAGCAGAATGGGACGCTCAGCAAGATGTCGCCAGTCATTCACCTGGAGCTAAAACACTGCACGAGGGCGTGCAACAGACAACGAACGGAAGACCAGTCGAGAATTTGATCAAGGCCAGGACTACTGGTAGTCATTACAGTCATTTGAACAGGCCTGCCACACGTCGTCTACAACATCAATATACTGTTGGATCATACCGAGATCCAGTGCCACGAGAAGACTGGCCAACCTTCGGCGACAGGAGGCCTTGCCCTCCGGCAATCGACAATGAGAGTTACGTTGTTGAATTTACTGGACATGATGATCCTATGCACCCGTTCAATTGGGTTGTGAGGAAGAAGTGCGTTTACTCTATGGATGTAAATTATATGTGAGCTGATCGATGTCTAGACTCGTCATAGCTGTCATTCTGTCGTACTGCACGCTTACCGCGTCTTTTGCCAGTGCCATATTCTCCTCTGCGGTTGACGCGGCTGGACACCATTTCCACATCAGCGTCGAAGTAGCGACTCTCGGCGTCTCGCTGTATGTCACTGGATTTGCTGCCGGACCAACGCTTTGGGCTCCGCTTTCCGAGTTGAAAAGACGCCGCCTACCTCTTCTCATTGGCATGTTCGGCTATAGTGTCTTCACGATCGGTAGTGCGACCTGCAAAGATACTCAGACACTCATGTTGACACGGTTCTTCGCTGGATTCTTTGGAGCCAGTCCCCTATCCATCGTCCCAGCGTGCTTTGCAGACATGTTTGATAACGCACAACGTGGCATAGCAATTACAGCTTTCGCAATGGCCGTCTTCGTGGGCCCGTTCCTCAGCCCGATCATTGGAGGTTTCATCACAATAAGCTCGATCCATTGGCGCTGGACGATGTATATCAGTGCGATTATGGGGTTCTTGGGCTTGATCGGCTTGGTATTCTTCGTTCCGGAATCATACCCACCGGCAATTCTGGTTGCCAAAGCGCAGGCCTTACGCAAGGCCACGAGGAACTGGGCGATCCATTCGAAGCAGGACGAAGTTGAAGTTGATTTCCATCAGTTGATAACGAACAACTTTAGCCGTCCGATAAGAATGCTGGCCACGGAACCCTTAGTGTTGCTGGTAACCCTGTATATGTCCTTCATCTACGGTCTGATGTACGCTCTTCTGGGCGCCTATCCTATTGTATTCGAGGGTGTGCACGGCATGGGAGAAGGAGTTGGCAGCCTGCCGTTTCTCGGTCTTATCGTGGGAGAGGCCGCTGGAGGCCTCTACATCATATGCTTACAGAAAGGATATGTTAAGAAGCTGGAAGCAAATAATGACCAGCCCATTCCTGAATGGCGCCTCCCACCGGCCATCATTGGGGGCGTTGTTTTTACGATTGGCATATTTTGGTCAGTAAGCCGCTATAATGTCTGGGGTCCTACCATGCTCACAAGTCACAGGTTTGGATGGACTGGATTCTCCTCGTCGATCCACTGGATGGCACCCACTGCTTCTGGAGTCTTCATTGGCTTCGGCATCCTCTGTGTACGTATCCCTACCTTCCCGCCCCCCTGGATCTAAACACTGACTGTGGCGATGTCAGATATTCCTCCAATGCTTTAACTATCTCATAGATAGTTACATCAGCTTTGCAGCATCGGTGTTTGCGGCCAATACAATCCTACGATCCCTGGTTGGAGCAGGCTTCCCCCTATTCACACGCCAGATGTTTGACAACCTCGGCATCCAATGGGCAGGAACGTTACTCGGCTGTCTGTCCGCGATCATGGTCCCAATTCCGCTTGCGTTCATTATATTTGGCCCAAGACTGCGAAAGAGAAGCAAGTTCGGCGAGCCTGACCACAGCCCAGACGAGGCTGAAGCGAAAGACATCGAGAAGCCGGACGTGGACGAGACATAGATGTTTGAGTGGTTGACTTATGACCTACAGAGCAGTCAATCATATAAGTATGATGAGCTGTCAAGGCGAGACGAAAGTGATTGTTGAGTCGAGGCTGGAAAATACAACCAGCAGATGTTTGAGGAGAAAACGTACACTGGCATGCCCATAGGCTGCTGACTGCTTGTAAACAGCGAAAGCAGGACCATGGATGCGCCTTGCGTTGACTTCGTGATGGGAATAAATTAGAACAAATGTGACGGAAGAGAGTAATGTCAATTGAAAAATATACGAGGATCTCGCATAGGTAGTGCCGAAGTATCTTTGTCAATGGCGAACACTCGCGAGCTTGATAGCAACGCGGCCAATAGCAGCTAGGTGGCGTCGTGATACATGTGTGCATGAGCAGTGAGGCAGCAGCTGTTAGTCTAGACTCTCCAGCTCGCTATAAAGAGGACAAGTGGGGTAGTGAAGTTGTTGCAGGTCGAGCTCTACCTTCTTACAACCAGCCTTCCTGTGCAGGAGGACCATATACAGTTACACGATTCACTCAGCGTGCCAGAGCGCCAAAGAAGTACATAGCGCTCGCAATCATGCTAAAGAAATTTCGACGGAGCAGCAGAATCAAACCTCAGCCTCAGCAAGATAACACAGGCCATGTACTCACGACGGATGCACAGAGTACACCAAGGACAGGCTTCTTCAGTCTTCCGGCCGAGCTGCGAAACGACATCTATGAACTGGCAGCACGCGAGACCGACTTGTGTCTGTTGGAGCATCGAAAAGGTCTTGTGGGCAACAAAAAGCCCTCCTCGTCTTCCCTCTCGATCCCAGGCTTGTTGTTGTCCTCAAGACAAGTCCGAACTGAATACCTCCCCATCTTGATACGCGGTGCAAAGATCAATGTCAAAGTCCTGGACTTCGACTTCTCTCAGCTGCTGAGAGCTATCAAAGGCTTGGAAAACGCGGCACGAGAGGCTATTCAATCAAACAAGAATCTCACGATTACTCTACGGATGAAGAAATGTGGAGCAAACGTCGCTTCCGGATTGAGAGCGTGGTGCGTGGGCTGTAATCCATCAGCTCGTATTCCTTGGGATTATCAACTCGACAAGAGCAATATGGAGGACATTCGAGAAGGGCAAGCAGGGGCTGTGAAATGGTACGTGGTGCGAGCCAGTGTGCTCTTTGAACAGGAGAGGGACAACGACGTTCGAAGGGAGCTCACGAAGATCTTGGAAGCGTTGCATCTTGCGTTGGAGGAGGAGATGAGCATTGGTCCTAGGAGCGACTCTGTTCTGATGACGTCGAGCTGGAGGCCTGGAATGTATTTATAAGTTTTGTCGCGGGAATTTTGAAAGGATTTGGTTGATGATCTGTTTACCTGTCTCACAGGGACTCAGAGCTTTACCTCTGTCCTCGCTTCTTATGCGGCATGGACGGGATGGCACGCGAAGGCGTGAACACCGTGATTGATCACTTGGTTGCCGCTTCATCGTATCGATATAGCACGTATCAGACCTCGGGGCTCTCCTCTGTGCCTGGACTAAGGACAGCTTGATGTCACGGTATCCAGTGAGGAAAGACGAAGAAGATTTTAGCAAGACAGAGACGACCCTCGATGGTTGTTTGGAGACCGTGATCGTGATTCTACACTGTATAAAGCCTTTGAGTCGGCGGTATCTCAAGAAGTTCGCAAACCAATCCAAGTCCCATGCGTAGTATATCAGCTCCATCAGCTCCTTGCATGCATGCCGCTAAAAGTGAAACTCGTAAAAGGAAATGGATACAAAGGAATCATGGTCGAAGACTGAAGTCTTCGAATCCAACGGGGCTGCCCTCGACCAGTCCCAAGTTTGATCTTGAAAGACTGCGACAATGTCGAAGACGACTGTGTCGGTTGTTGCTTTCCGTTCTCCCAAAGATCCCATTCGGACCTCCGTGAGCGGCAAGAATCTCGCAAGTCCGTCCAAGATCCGAGTCAAGGTAGATGTCCAGAAGTTGCCCCTGATGAGCGTCTCAAGTTGTCAGCGTTCCGGACACTCCAGGTCCTAAAGCTTCTTGAGACAGGTTTTGGAGACTCAACTAAGCTTATCGCTCCGTTGAGACTTCATCGGTGAGTTAAACGTCGAGTTCGTTGTGGTGTGTCAGTATGATAAGCAGACCTTGTAACCCCAGACAAGATGGCCAGTCTTCCTCGGCGGTCCCGTGGTCCGATCCAGCAATGACTGCCGCAACTGATCGTAGCCCAACAATGTTCATGATAAGGTCAGCCAAGCTAGAACTGTCGACTTGATGAACGTCTCTCCGTGCAGAATGCACTAGAGACATTGTCGAGATGGCCGACTGTTGTTAGATGTGACCTGCCCATTCGTCGAAAGTTTGGATAGATCGTCGAGGATCAAACCTGCGGAAGTTGTGATAGATTTGAGATGAAATGATCTTTGAGATTTTCGAGTCCAGGCTCCCGGTCCAGCGAGTCCAACGGAAAGGTGGTCCAAGCAAATGCTCTCTGTCCTGCAACGATAGCAGTCCGAGAGCAGTCGACGGGTTCCCCTGCCCGCTCGTCTGCGGTTTCCCGCGACGTTTTTGCACGCTTAATCGGTCCCTTGACGCTCGATACAACTCCTTTGTGAACCCAATTTTTGTTGTTGGTCAAGACAGCCATGCGAGAGCGGGTCCGCATCTCCCACAATGGCGACCGCTCCTCCTATAAGTTTTGTTGTCTTTCGAGATCGCGTGCAACTTGTGCACGGCCTCTTCTCCAATCTCGAAATTGTCTATTTATGGCTTCGCACTTGATCATCATGCAGTTCGCGAAGACCATGCCCGAGCTAATGATGACAGGTAGGAGGGCGAGAGAGTTCTTGTCTGGTGGATCTGGCGCAAGGACGATACTGTAAAGAAGTAGGTCTACGAAGATGTTGTATATGAGGCTTCTTTACGCCAGTTAGCAGACTCATTGGGAAACGGGGTAGAGCTCACCGACTTCTTGACCATCTCTCGGTGGATGTATATGATGCCGGTGAGGGTCAAGACCCATGTGACGATACAACTGGAAATCCATTAACATGAAGTTTGCGTAGTAGCCTCATAGATGACGTACAGTAGCTCACCTAGGCGCTGATCGCGGCTTGCAGGAAGTGCGAGCACGACTGCAGACGCACCATGCAACGTATTTAGGATGAGTTCCATCTTAAATCAGGTGAGTGCCAATCGTCAGCACTTAGTGCCCGAGACGGAACCTCGAGCAAGCTCTCTGTTTGCGTCAAAGAGGGTAGTAGGCGATCGGTCGGCCACGATGTGTGAGCTGGTAGCTCTGAACACCGAGCAGCCCTGGGGAATGCGGATGGTAGAGGACGGTGGCTGCGATGAGTGAGCAGCTATGAAGCGCAAGGCGGGACGTGAAGGAGGAGCCCACGCTGAGGTCGGTGCGAAGGAAAGTGGCGTGGAAGCCCAGCGCGAACGAAGAAGAAGACCGCGGACTTGACCAACGTGACGATGGTAATGCCAAGTGCAGCTGAGTTGCTTCTAGTCCACGTCACCTCATGATGGTAGCAAACATTCTTCCCGTCACCGCCCACTTCTTCAACAAGTTCGTTTCCACCAAGTTCATATCCATCATCTTGCGATTAAAGCTTTTCATTTGCAGCGTGCGATATAAAGATACAGCCATGCTCGAGAAGAGTGCCAGGGAAGATCACATACGGGTCGGTGTCACGAGTTCTGGTCGGCCGAATCTCTGCACTCAAGGAGGGCAGTTAATGTGCTAACTTTTGCGTAGTGCCGGGGGCGTCGATCCCACATAGAGCAGATGTCGCTATCGTCGCTACAGCTTGGCTGGCCAGCGCAGCGGGGTTTGCGGTATGGAAGGTAGTGTTGATCGGCCACCATTCCAGCTGGTGTCGAAGGACTGATTTCAGTACAGACAATAGGCCTTCACGATGCGAGCCCTGCGATTTTGGTTCTTCACGGCCTACTTGCCCTGATATTCTGCTTCGCGATAAGCACCCGGGTCCAGCAGCAAAGACCAGCGTCTACACTATGTGCCTTCACCCTGGGAAGCGCGGTCGTGAGCAGGATCTTGAGACAAGATGCCGGACTGGCGGGTATGGTAGTTGGGACTTCGATCGGGGCAAATGTCGGCCTCGGTGCTGGCTTGGTCTGGGACTTGTTGGACTCGTCCGCTGAAGGGAGATACATGTAACTCGGCCCGTGGATGAAGAAATTCAAGTTGAAGTCAAGAGAAGGACGTGAGGTGAAGAGATGGACAAGGATTATGCTTTGGCTACGCTGTATAAGGTTCAGACGGCTCTTGCTAGCGTGCGCTTCTTTACAGCCTCGCTGAAAGATGAGGAATATGAGTCCATCGTTGTCCAGTATCCCTTTTGTTGGATAGAAACTCACAGCCGAGAAACGATGCATCGATCGAGACTATGATAGCGTCTGCAGATGCAGTCTTTCTGTTTCTGCTTTTGCTTCCCTTGCGGCTCGTCGCTTTGCTTGGCGCTTCTCCCGCTGCTTCCTCGTCTTAGCGCTCTCCTGTTTGACCTCTACTGGATTCCCATCATGAACGTCAACCGCAATATCATCTCGTGTCTGGTCAGCGGAAATATCTCCCTCACCATCGTTAACGTTGCGCATGTCGTCGATCCCATCTTCAATGTTCTGCAGAGCATGGCCATGTTCTTCATGGATGGGGTCCGCCACCTCACAACTAGTAGGCCTAGCTACCGGTAGGAGACGTATTATTTGCAACATCTTGGACTCAACTTGGCTGCCTGACCACCGCTCAGCGCGATCATTGGCTTCGCGGATCCACGCAACGATACCAGCTCCTGTTCGAGGAAGCCAGGTCACGTCGGTCTCATCGAAGAGTCGGAGCACACTATCTCCACTCAAATCGTTGAATGAAGCATCCAACCTTTCCCTCGCAGATCTTAAGTTGCGTAAGGCTTTTTCATGCTGTGGTTCGGAGTACAAATTTTTGAAAGTCAGCACGAAATTGTATTCACTCGTGGCTCTCAAGTAGGCTTCCAAAGCATTTGCGACGTTCCCAAGCTTCCGGCCTTCGTACAATGCTGCCCGCAACACCTCGCAGAGATTTTCCCTTCTGTTATCAAGCTCAGTGACTGTCTTCTTGAGTGCTCTTTCCAAAATCTCTACTTGGTCCTCAAATTGCTGGTTGCGATCTTGTTCAGCGGCGGTGGTCAATACACCAAGCAGAGTCTGCTCCATATGTGCATTTCTCAAGGCTTCAATACACCTCTTCTTCTCTTTCTGAAGCTCTAACGAGACCGGGGCCGTATTCTGCTGGGCCTCCTCTTGCTCCGCGGACGTGCTGGGTCCAGAAGCCCTGATACTGTCTTTCGCCGCGTAGTACTTGTTCAAAAGTCGTGCAATCGCTTTTTCGTCCTGTAGGAATCGGTCCGAGTATGGATGAGTCCTGAACAAGCTTGTGAACTGCGAGCAGGGCTCGCTCGGCTGGGCTCCTTCAACAGATACCTCAGATTCATGGGATTCGGAGTCACCGTCGTCGTCTTCAGCCTCTGCTTTGTGGTCTGATTCGCTGCCATCATCGGAGGACACGGCGGAGGACTCATCAGAGGAGATCTCGTCGTTGGTGTCAGTAGCCGCCTTGGCCTTACCAGCATTGACGGCAAACTTTTCGTCGTCTGAGGAGTCGGCATAGTCTTCTTCATCGGAGTCCTCCTCGCTACTAGACTCAGCCGTGACCTCGCCATTCGTCTTGGACGCTTCGGCTTTTCTGGTATCCTCGACCATGAAGTAGCTTCCTACTTCCACACCAACGACGCCTTTTGTTTCCTTGAACTCACGTGCCTTGATATTGCTGGACTCTTTGAGCAGCGGTAGCTGCTTCTGTTTGGGACTCACTTCGTCTTCCAGGGCTGCATTGCCTTCTTCGAATTGCATGCCTTCCTCGGCAATTCGTTCATTCAACTGTTTCCACTCCTCGCGCAACAGCTCATACTCGTGCACCAGTTCACAGTCACGGGATTCTTTCCGTACGGTGAGTTCGGACAGTTGCTTTTTCAAGGACTTCTAGAAATGCTGTCAGAAGACTACATTCGCGCCCAGAAGATCGTACCGCAACATAATACCTTTTCTCTCTCACAACCACGCAGTCTGATCTCGACCTTACGAAGGTACACACTTTGGAAGCTTGCGATGACCAGTATGGTGACCAGCGCTGTGCCGAGAAATCCTACATCGCTGATGCCGTGCAAGAGCGTGGCAAAGACGAAGGGGGCGGAAAGGAGATAGCTGAAGTCAGCGATTGCCATCTCTACAGGCTAGGGCCTTGGTCTCCAGTCTGGCAGATGCACTTTGAGTAGGATCTTGAGGTCAGTTGTGACGTTACACGACTCAGCTCAGCCTCAGCCAAGAATATTGCCATATTATGCGGCTCAAACAGACGAGTGTGACACAAAAGGGGGGGGGGGGGGGGTGTCCATGCAGGTCTTCTGTACAATTGAGCTATCGACTGTGAAGTGGTCAGTCAAGACTTGCTACATGCCGACGGAAAGTGCACTTGATGCCATTTCATGAGTCGCCTAGGGGTATCATAATTTGAAGCCAATATACCATTCCCTCATGCTTTCAATCGAGTCGCTTCTATCGATTCTTCAGACAAGCCGGAAAAGGTAGCCCGTTCCTCCTCAAAATCGCCTTCAACGCAATGACCTCGCCTTTCAGTTGGGCGACCTCGATTTCCAGACCCTGAACTCTAGATTTGGTCTCTGGGCAGGTGAGACAGGTGAAGCCTTCACTTCGCGGTAAACCTCCTGACATCGCAGCGCCGTCTGCATCCTCGTAGACTTGGATAGGGTTGGCGTGCTTGCCTGCTTTGACTCTTGTCCATGGGCTCCTCGTTTGTGGCCCGGAAGCTGCGTTAACGGCCATCCTTGTCACGGTATTTTCTTTCCCGATAGGTGAGCGTCGAGCAATTTTCCGTTGGCTTCGTTTCTTGGCGGGAGACAGTGATGACGATCTTGGAAACAGTTCCCTGACTTGTTCTGACGCTGGAGAGAACGATGCTGCGGGAGAAAGCTGGGATCTTGCTGTAGCGAAAGCATCATCGTCCGTCGAGCCATCAATGGGAGCAGATTTGAGCTGTGACGAGGCGGGATGCATAACAGCAGTGCTGGCAGTTCCATTCGAGTCCATCCTGGAACGAGATGTCTGCCTACCGGGTGGTCGGGCAGGATGCTTTCGCCGTCGTGTGCGTGTGCTTTGGTCTTCATCAGAGTCTGACGTGAGCCAGATATCCTCACTGTCATCCTGAAGAGACCAAGACGACGTGGACTCTGTATGCGCCTCAGAGTTTCCGCCAACGTCATGTGTGGTCTCGTTTACAATGCCAGTGCTATGAGTGCCGATACTCGGTCTCGAAAGCTGAGAAGTGGCGTATGAGGAAAGTGTTCCGTGCTTTCGTTGCGATGAGCCATCTTTTGACAACTTGCGAAGGTCGGCGAGGACTCTCGCATTTTGATTGACGGGAGTAGCAGCAGCGACAGTCCTACTGCGGCTCGAGATTGACCCATCGGCAGTCTTGGCGAAAGTGATGTGCCTCTGCGACTTGCTAAGTGGAGAGACAGCAGTCGTCGCTCTTCGTGGCGGTTTGAGCGTTGATCGTGGATTGTGCTCAGCTTGGATGGACGCAGAACTAGAACTGGTAGCATGGCTTTCGGTGGAGGGAAACAGCGAGTACTTTCTCCGGGTGGAAGCAGCACTACCTGCTGATTTCTGCGAGTCGAGGTCCTTGACGAATGTCTGGCTTGATAAACGTGGGCGGTTTCGAGGTGGTGGGCTTGTGATGCGAGGCTTGATGGGACTCTTGGCTTTGGGCGGGTCCTGCTTGACCGGCGAGAAGAGATCCTGATACTCAACACCTGCAGGTCCTAGGTGCTGCGACCGCTTCGGCGAAGGTGTGTACCGAACGGTACTTAGAACCTCTTCATCGGGATGAATCGTAAGCTGCCTAGAAATGGTGGCTTTTCTCAAAGAAGTAGGCAGTCCAAGATGCTGAGAAGATGGATCGCCAGTCGCGGTTGAATGAACCCCTGGAGAAGTCAACTCTTGTTCCAGGAGCGCTCGTTGCGACGATACTGGGTTGATTGTCTCGAGTTCGTCATCACTCAAGTGCCGCCGAGAGTCGACACAGGCCGATGCAGGCGATGGACCCTTCGCCCACTCGATGCTTATGATCCTCTCCTCCTTGCCGCTGATGTTCTTCTCGGCAAGCAGTAGGCCCAAGCTGTCGTACATCTGCACTCTTCCGTCGACTCGGCTTACAGTGATCAGACTGTCCGTGCTCGTAGGCCCACCAATTGTGTGAGCTCCAGATGAGCGATTCCTTCCGCTACCAGAGTCCAATCTTCGATGACCAGGTGTAGGCTTCAGCGCTAGGACCGAAATCGATGTGACAGGGGCCTTGGCATGCCATGTTCGAACGACAGCACCGCCATTGGCAAAGTCAATGATTTTGCATTTTCCATCCCGACCAGCAGTGACAGCTCTCGTCTTGTATCCTGGCAAAAATGCAGCTCCAGCAACTGGAGCAGCAATGTCGAATAAGTCATCCCCCGACACAATAGCGCGATGGACGTTCGCAATGCGTGAAATCTCTCCATCGTTGACGCTTGCCTGATTCGAAAAGAGTCCCTTCTTGGCCATTCGGGTGGCATCATAAGCAGCAACGCAACCGTCTCTGAAGGCAAGGAGGAATACATTTTGTCGCTCTGGATGAAAGACCGCGACCGACACCACAGCGCTTGATGCACTGGGCTGAATGTGCAGGGGTGCCGTATTATGGACCAAGTTCTTCAAGTAAACCACAGGAGGATTTTGCGATGCCGAGAGCATCATGTGTCCTGTGGGAGAAATAGCAAGCGCAACGGGGACAGCATCATGCTTTTGAGCTGGATCGACCAAGCGAGACCTCTCGGTATTATAGTGCTGAATCGTGCCGTCGGTAGTTGTTGATAGGAACAGCGACTTGGCGTCCGGCGTGTACTCGATGTGGCGGACCTCGTCCAGTGGTGCATTCAATCCCCAGCTTTCTTCCTTCCCTCGCCTCGTGTCATGCATGACAACGACATTGCTGCTGGCCACTGCAAGTACACCCGACCCATCTTTGGCTTCTCTGGCGGCGACAATGCCGCTTCGACTGCTCTGGAAGACTATATGTACGCCAGCCGAATCCCAAGCGAAGACATGTCGCGCCGTGGTGATGACCAAGTGGTGGTTCTCCGGAAATCGAAATATGGTCTGCTGTTTGTTCGATGCGGTTGTTATGGTGCTGCCGTTTGATGCATTTCGAGTCGTAGGCATGATTGAAGATCTGCTCTCTGGAAGCAAAGGCCTTTCGGTGAGGTGGTTGCCATGTAAACAAAGCTGAGTAAGCGTCGGGAACGCTTCGGTCCGAGTGAAGCTAGTCGATTTCGTCAGGCCTTCTCTTCACTCAAACTATCCCGCAAACCTCAACCCTCGCGAAAACTACCAAGCTATACTCTGGTGATTACGGTATAACAAACTCTGCCAAACCATGAGCCTGCCATGGCTCGAATACCACTTGCACCAAGCCATTTCAGGTGGTCCGTCGCGGTTTTGTCCTTTCTCGATCAGTAAGCCTAAAGGATATACGTGCTACGATGGAAAATGCTTCGATCAAGACGGCAAACCTGTGTTTGCTTATATGGTGGGAACGCTCTACTCTATACGTGATGTGCTACTCTTCTTTCCAGATTATCCGCCAAAATGGACCAAAAACGGCAAGAACTGCTCCAGCATCTGCACGCAGCCAATACCCTTGCGAACGAGCTTTAGCACGAGCTCCTGAATGACTTGCCTTACCGACAAGATGTCACTGCGCTGTCCAAGGCCATCCTCCAGCCAGGATAGGCGCCTTTTGAGCGGGTCTAGGAGGGCTTCACCTATCCTCTTGTCAAGGCGTCTTTACGAACGGCGCTCGATGCTGGCTGGTCAGATCATGTGGCCAAAGCGAGTCTGGCTGGTGTTACAGCAGAAATATTGGCGAAAGAAACAGGAGCAGACTCTGCGATGGTAGCCCGCATCATGCGCCTGCTTGCGACTGCTGGCATTGTTGATGAAGTGGGCACCAGAACGTACGCTCGCAACAATCTGACCATGTCGCTTACCACCACAGCCCTGAGGAATGGCACGGTAGTGTTCTCGGACCTTCTACCCTCGTTGGCGCGAATGCATTTGATCTTGATAACACGCAATATCGGACACCGCCTGATGTTGCCGACTACCCATTCGCGTCTGCAGAGGGCATGAGGTAGTGGAAGAGACTGGCCATCGAACCTTTTAGGCAGGCCGCCTTCGATGCCTTCATGGACAGCCGCCGAATGGGGAGGACTCAGTGGTATGAGATATACCCGCTTGAGGACTTCAAGGTGGCCGTCAATGAGGACATTCTCTTAGTCGACGTCGGTGGTGGCATAGGGCACGATCTCGTCAACTTCAACGAACGCCGCAAATCTTTGGACATACCCGGGCATTTGGTTCTACAAGATCTGCCAAATGTCATCGCCCAAGTACCCAAGGACTGGGCCCTCCAAATGACCAAGGGAGCCCACAGCTTCTTCGATCCTCAGCCAGACCAATACCGACACGCCAGAGCCTACTACATGAGAATGATCCTGCACGACTGGGCTAACGCTGCATGTCTGACCATCTTGGGCCGCCTTCGCGACGCAGTGAAGCCTGGATACTCAACGCTTCTCCTCAACGGGATCATACTTCCCAGTGTCGAGTGTCCGTACTGGGCAGCTGCCACCGACCCGACTCCGATGTCGTCTTTTGGCGGGAAGGAGCGGACCTTGCAAGAATGGCACGAATTGATCGATCAAGTGCCGGAGTTGAAGATTGAAAAGATTCTACCGATCGATGAGGAGCGAGACTTGAGCACATAATCCAAATTGGCAGGTACCGTGAGTGAAGATATAAGCGCGGTCACACACCTGCAAGAGAAACGTGGTCTTGCGACCCCCAATCTCACCCCCACTCTGATCTCCCATTTAGCCGGTCGACCACACTTGAAGGCGAGTATTGTACCGCACTACTGCAGGTACCTATGATCGCGGTACATGATGCTCCGAGCACCTCTCTGAAGAAGATCATTCTCGCAATCGAGCAATATCGGCCTTATTTCCTTCTTTTCCTTCCTTTCCCATCGAGATGTCTACAGCTCGCATTGCGGAGGCTAACCAGCCGTTTGCTACTCACGCATTCTCACAGAATCCATTTAGAACACGGGACGATGTAGTCACTGCGTGTGCTTCGTTACTGGACCCCCTCGAGGCTGGCTTCTCACCCGGATGTGCTCTGGTGCGAGTGGGTGGAACAGGAACAAGATGTGAGCCCTTCCCATAGAAGAAACAAGACTCCTGTCACTGATGATATGACAGTCGACGAGACAGCTGCCCAAATTGAAGGCTACGCTCGCCCACTATGGGGTCTCGCGGCACTCCTTGCCGGCGGCAACAAATACAAAAACACCCATCTCTTCGTCAAGGGCCTCGCATCTGGCACAAACCCCGAAAGCCCAGAGTTTTGGGGCAACATGGAAGATCTCGACCAGCGGATGGTCGAATCCTGCCCCATAGGATTCATGCTCGCCGTCGCCGGGAAAGACTTCTGGGATCCACTCTCCGAGGAAGAAAAGGCGAACGTTGCTGCTTGGATCGGCTCGATGAACGACAAGGAGATGCCGAACACGAATTGGCTGTGGTTCAGAGTCTTTGCGAATCTTGGATTGAAAGCTAATGGTGCGCCGTATTCGCATGGTAGGATCGAGGCCGATATGGATCATTTGGACACTTTCCATCGTGGGGATGGGTGGTCGAATGATGGGCCGGAGGGGTATACGCAGATGGATTATTATAGCGGGTCGTTTGCGATTCAGTATCTGCAACTGCTGTACTCGAAGCTGGCGCATGATTTTGATCCGAAACGTGCGGAGGAGTATAGGAGACGGGCGAGGACGTTTGCTCTGGACTTTATTCATTATCAAGACCCCGACGGCCACTCGATTCCTTTCGGACGAAGTCTGACCTACCGTTTCGCCACCATCGCCTTCTGGTCCTCCTTTGCGTTCGCAGACGTGGAACCACCGGAACCTCTCAACTGGGGTATCATCAAAGGTCTTCTACTCCGAAATCTCCGTTGGTGGAGCAAACACCCTCACATCTTCCAGGCGAACGGTATGCTGAACATCGGATACACATATCCGAACTACTACCTCGCCGAGAACTACAACTCCCCCGGCTCTCCATACTGGTGCATGCTCGCCTTCGCCGCGCTCACTCAACCAGCTACACATCCCTTATGGTTGAGCAACGAGGAACCTCATCCTTTCACCCAGACACCGAGCCCACTACCATCTGTCAAGGCTCTGAAGTATCCACTGCATATTAGGGTGCGTGAAGGAGGCCACACTTTCCTCCTCTCGAGCGGTCAGAAATGCCACTACCCCCTGAAATCAACACAAGCGAAATACGGCCACTTCGCCTACAGCGCTTCGTTCGGATATGCAGTTCCCACAGGCGGTTATACGCTCGAGCAGTTTGTTCCCGAAAGCGCACTCGCGCTCAGCGATGATGGCGGGGAGATCTGGAAATTGAGAAGGGAGGTTGAGAACGCTCAGATCTCGGAGAAGGAGGGTAGTCCCGTACTGTATTCGACTATGCGTCCTTGGAAGGATGTCGAAGTGAGAACTTGGCTTGTCCCGCCCACTGATGAGGCTCCGAATTGGCATCTTCGTGTCCATTGGATTGAGACGGGAAGGCAATTACAGAGCGCCGAGGGCGGGTTCGCGATCGCTGGGACGAGGGAGAGGGATGGACGGGTGTTGAATTCGCTCTACCCTGAGTCGCCGAATGAGGGCACGCTTGCTTCGGGACAGGAAGGACTAGTCGTGTCTCGGGCTGGAGCGTCTGGTGTTGTCGAACTTCTTCAAGGGTCTCGCATGGGAGGGATCTGCCACGTCGATGCGAACAGCAATCTCATCGAGCCGAGGACGTTGTTGCCGACATTGTACGCCGACCTGGCCCCGGAATCTACGACGTGGTTGGTCTCGGCTGTGTTCGCGATGCCGGCGAGTGTAGACGATTGGCAGAATAAGTGGAAGCAGCAATGGGAGAAGAGGCCGCGCATTCCGAAGTGGATCGCCTCGCTGAAATCTGAACAACAATGAATCGTAGAGTCATCAAATCATACATTGCCCCTTCCACTACACTAGCTAAACCTCTTTTCTCCAGATAACGGGTATCACAATCCATTCCATCACCTCCCCACTTCTTCACTCACTCATCATACTCAATACTCAACGTCGTAGGCACATGATTCTCCCTCGAATTAGCATCCAAATACGCCTTCAACTTCACACCCCCAACATCGTGTTCCACGAAATGCAGCTGGCCCCGCCGTCCCGGTGCCCGACGCACGTTCTTGAGCTTGAAGATCTCTTTCAGCGTGGCTGCGATCGAAGGACCGACGATGCGGGCGCCGAAGGACTTCAAGCTGTAATCTGACACCGCGCGGTGCGGGTTTAGTTTCTCTGGATCTGGGAACGCGGCTGGGTCGAGGTTTGCTTTGGAGGTTGCAATGAGGATCACGTTGTCTTTCTTGACGTTGACGGGGCCGTAGGGGCCGTCTTGGACGGTGGTGTCTCTAGTCGCGACACGGGGAACGCCCGGGATGGCGGAAGCGAGGCGCATGCCTTCGAAGACGAACCCTTGCAACTCCTTGTCGGAGGCGGCATCGTCTTTGTGGGCGAGCTCGATGATCCGTTGCTTGTATTGCTCGTACTCGGGCTTAAGGAACAGGTCGACCAGGAGGGATGTCTGCTGCGTGACGACGCCAGCAATGGGGGTGCCCACGCCGATGCAGTCTTCGACGAGGTTGTTGATGTTGAGCTTGGTGTTGTTGAGGGCGTGGTAGATCCGATCTGCTTCGGGCTTGACTTCGTATGCGGAGCCCTTGGCCAGCCAGTCGACGAGGTGCTCTTTGAGACCTTGTTGTGTCTTGAGATGCGCTTCGTGGATTGACTTTAGGATTTGCGAGCTCTTGTTCGCGTCGTCTCGGAGTTTCCACTCCTTGATCGGTTGGATGTTGAAGGTGTGGTAGAGGTACAGCGCCATGTAGATCTCGAAGAGCTCGGGAAGAGTCAGTAGGCCTCGTGGGTTCTGCGGTGTCTTGAGGGGGATGGCGAAACGTTCAGCCAGCCAGAGGATAGGAGTGACGTTGGTCACATCGCGGACGATATCGATCGATCGCTTCGTGCTCTGGTACTTTAGCGAGCTCTCCTTGATGAGCTTCGACACATTGGCGCTGTAGAACTTCGCAACATTGCTCTCGAAGCCGTCCTCGAAGAAAATCTTGTGCAGAGGGTTTGTCTGGTCGTTGTGCTTCTGGATGTTGTCCCAGCCGAAGATGGTGTAGTGGCCGTACGTGCAGAGTCGGAAGCTGTCAGTGTCCAAGAACACCTTCTTGCAGGCTTCTTGCGACTGCACTGCAACGATGTCCATGTCACTGCGAGGCCGCTTCAGGTCGTATTGGTCGAGAACACCGTTGCCTTTAAGGATGCCACGAGCGGCCTTTGGCGTGTAGAATGGCAGAAGAGCGTAAGTCGAAGTACCAGTGTATGCGCCTGGCAGGCCTGCGAAGATCAAATGCGGGAGCATACCGCCGTAGCAGCCTGCTGGAGGAGAGCCCAATTTGCTGACGCCCCAGCTGGTGAGCGTACTGCTGTTGAAGTCGTAGCTCAAGAAACGATCTCCTCGAATAAGAGCCACTGCGTCATCCAAGATACCACGACCAGTCGTCTGGCCAGGGCAGACACCACTACCTGGCATCGCTGGCTTTGTCACCTCTGCCATCAGTCCAGGATAGAGCTCAAGGTTGTCGATATGTCCGTAGAGAAGCTCAGCCGCTCGAGCTGTCTCTTTGTCTGGATTCCAGTCCTCGAAGGTCTTGTATGCTTTCAAATTCAGGTATTTGCGGAATCTGCACAATCGTCAGTATGAACACCATTATTGCTCGGCGACTTCAATCTTACTCATTCATAGTGCAAACGTTGAACTGCTCCCGAGCCTGCAGCATGCCCATAATCTCCACAACCTTGAGGGCGTGCGGCGTGCTATGAGCACCAAACGCATGCGCAGGCTCATCAACACAGCTCTTCAAGATCTCCGCAATGTCCGAATCCTTGAACTTGCCATCCGCTTGTCTCTGCAAATTGGCGAATGTCCACTCCTTTGCAGGAGTAGCCACCAGCTTGTGGCCTTCTTTCATCAACACAGTCATGAAATCCTTCTGAGTCAAGTCGTCGATGGACTTCAACTCTGGTAGACTCCATTTGAACATGTCTTCCAGCCATGTTGCGTCTGCGGCGCTCAGGGCTGCGTGCCAGTGGTAGAGGACGGCGAATTCGACAGATACGACGTTTCCGCTTGCGCGATCAACACGTTGTCCGGCGGTCTTGATTTCGCCTCCCAGATCCAATGACCAAGTGGAGTTTGCCCGCGGTGTATTCAGAATAGCTGCGACGTAGTCTTTGAGCACGACAGTAGCGAAGAAGCCGACGTTGATGTTTCTGGAGAGCTGGAAGATATCCTCGTCTTGCCTAGAGTTTGTCAGATCAGGTCCTAGTAACTGTGGCCATCTGCTGTTTTGACTTACCAGACTTGCTGCTCCTCGGTCAAAGTTTCCCAAGGACGATACTTGCCCTCTTCATTGATCGTCAACAAGTTCTCTGCGATACTGTTGTGATTCCTCGAGAACAGCAGAAGTGTGGCAATGACACCAGGAGGCATCATCATGATTCGGTCAGAAGCAATCGAATCATTGAATATCGTTCCATTCTGATATGTCCGCACTCCCTTCTGCTCTTTCTCCGTGTTACCATATAGCGTGCTCAGATCCACGTAACTGCTCGTCTCGTTGATCCAATGATTCGATCGCGAAGTCTGGAAACACTCGTGGATGACGATTGTGGCGAAGGAGAAGAACATCCTGTTGAGGCCCGAGGGATGCTCTTTGAAAGGGTCTTTCCGCTTGAGCAGCTGCTCGTAGACGAGCTCGGGATCGGGGAGATTTGGGCCTTTGGGCTTCATTGGAGGAACGCTGCGACTGTATGGAGAGCCAGCTTTGCCCATTTCTGGATTCCAAGGAACATTGCCACCACCGTCGTGCCTTCGATATCTCGATGTCGGACCTGCAAGCGTTGCTGGTGGATGTGGGAGATCATGATAGAGCATCTTAATGAATGCGTCTGAAACGGAAGCTGAAAGGCCGCTGTTGAGCGGAAGCCCTTGCAACATAGACACGCCATGTTCGAGCAAAAGCTCCTTGTCGTCCAATGGCTCTCCCGATGCCAGAGAAGTTAGACCTTGGCCCAATACTCTGGCATCTTTGAACTTCATATGCGTGAGATCATGGCCGAGAGATGTCTTCTCGCCATTGGCGGGAGCTCCATTTGCCTGGCTGTCTGATTTTCGGTCGGGAGCATTGGTGGGTTTCCTCTTGATCGTGCCGATCAGTGTTGTGATTCGGCCGGGCATTGTGAAGACAGCAGTGTATGTTTTGCACTGCGTCTATGGACAAGCGAGATGGAAGAGAAGAAAGAAGAATGCGCGGAAGAAAGAAAAGCCAGAGTCACAGACAAGCAGGCAGCAAAATCGCGGTCAACTCACGATGCAACTCGCCATTTTGCTAACCAACCCCTCCCCAATCATTGGCTGCGGGTCATTCGATTGGAGCGATCGCCACGTTCATCAGTGGTACACGAAGCGCATGCATGGTGTCTTGGCCAAGAGGAAAAACCAATGGAAGAGGGGCGACAGGCTTCGGTGTGACGCTGAACAGGCCGAAACTTTTGCCCCGGCATGGTGGTATAGCTGTTGCACAGCTCAAGGTGTAGCTCAAGCTCCATGTCTTGCGACACGGCTTCCTGCAGGGACGGCTACGCCATGCTTGGTGGCATGACGAGGATGAACGGTATGGGCTGATCGTTGCTGGCGGCAACCACCGGTACATGTACTAATGCACACGATCCACCGTATTGCATGATGAGATGTTGCAGATTGGAAAGTCCTCGGGCGGTTATTGCATACACCCGCCTGCACCGTGGCTCCACCACCGGGCAGAGACAGGTTAGGTGGTGCGAAGGCCGGTTTAGTTCCGTGCGAGTGCGAGGTTCAACGAAAGCAAATTCAGTCTTGGGCGTTCCGACACCATATGCCTTTGGGAATGCTTTTCTCAGCGATATAATCCACATCCTTAGATTGACCCAATCGTAATGTCGAATTTTCAACTTACTCAGAAGCAAATCCGAGAGCCCGGATGGTCCGAGCAGACCTTGCCTGAAAGGGATACTGCAGAAAGGGAGATAGTGTGTGGATGCTAGCATCTGGCTATCTGCGGATTAGCGAGCACGTATGCACGTTAATGCACAAAGCCGATCGTCTCCTCACCAACAGACTTTGACGACAAATCTGAACTTTTGCCGTCGAAAGATTGTCTCCAGCGGGGTTTGCGTGATGTTCGCCAGGCGTATGACAGAAATTATCGGGCTGCTCAACTTGCGTTGTGACGCTGCTGGTCGTGCCTGAGCGGGGCCTAGATTGTGTGGGCGACCTGCAGCCTTAAACTGCGTGGCTGGCTGAGGGCGTGTGCTCCGGAGCACCGTGCTCGAGGGGCAGCGTGTCGTTTCGAAAGCGGGTGCCACGCCGTCAGCGGCAACATTGTGTCGCACGAATGGTCTGCAACTCGACTGTGAAGCCCCAGGTGTGTGTTCATATCAACCGATGGCTGAAGTTGAAGAGAAGGGGTGGCGCGGCCCGTAGGCGGCACGTCCGTACCCTCTTTTGCATGTTCACATGCCGGGTGGAACGGATCCTTTGCTGAACCTAAATCCTGCAAGTGGACATTGTTGACGACGAACTGCTGCTCGGCGTCAGGTCTTGCCGGTCACGAGTTGAAGATCGCAAAGCCGATTGTCGTAGTGATTCGTGCGGAGTATTTTTCATGCCTACGCTTCGTTAGTCTTTGCCAGTGCAGCCACCGTACACCGCTAGTGGGCGCCGTGGGCAAGCAAGTGCATATACCGCGTAGGACCTAATGCCATGCACTCGGTATGCAGTCCCCGCACCCGCACACCACCGATTGCTCTTCTAGTGTGAGCCCGTCCAATGGCCGAGCGGGTTGAGAGCTGTTGAGACGTCGTGTCGAACGTCTTCAGCGTCACTGATACGAATTGGTTGCATGATTGCTGTCGACGATGTCCAATCGGTCCCTCACAGTAACGAATTGACGATCGTCGTCCCGATGGGGGACTTTGATGATCCTTTCGAAGTTGGTGTGGGCTTGTGCGAGCCCGTGGTGCATCATCACTGATCAATGGAGCTCCTTGGGAGGTGCCGTGGCGCTGATACACAACGCAGCCGCCTCCACAACATTTTGAGTGACACTCCGAGCTCTTGACACTGTAACGTAATTCAGTGGGTTTCCATCCATCGACGATTTGAGTACAGGAGGCCGGGCGCAATTGCAACAAAGAAGACCAAGAGCAGCTCCAACAATCAAGAGTTCAGGTCGTGTTGGATAAAGCACAATGGCAGGCATAACGCCCCAAGCTCAGCAAGGGCTTGGACCAACTCCAGGTCGCAAGTCTCTGATACTGTGCTTCGATGGTGGGCAAACAACGTCGCCAATGACCCATGATCTTGACTGATTCTGGCAAAATCCAGGCACGGGCAACAAATTCCAGGGCAACCAAAGCGATTCGAATATCATCAAGATTTTCAACCTGCTCGATCGTCAAGACAGCAGTCAATGTCAGCATCTGAGCGCAGTGCAGGAGGAAGTAAGAACACGCTGACCAGCTCACAGTCCACTATTACCAGCCTGGTATTGGCACTTATGTCGAGACCAGCTCTTTATCCCGGAAGAGTACATATGGCCGCATCAAGTCGTGGTGTAAGTGCCAGATTATTCAGCTTAGTAGCGAGACGCTGATATGTTCCTCAGATACCAAAGCAAAGGACCAGGCTGTGGGAACGAGTTTCGGAGAGCATGTAATGGCAGGATACAAGGTTGGTACTTCAACAATGCTTGAAGAGCCTGGACTGAAAAGTTAGTTTTTGATGCGATACTACAATGACGGCGACGCCATCTACTTTTTCGGGTTCAGTCGGGGCGCTTACACAGCTCGATTTCTTGCACAAATGCTTGACTACGTCGGCTTGTTAAGTGCCGGTAACGAGGAGATGCTGCGATTCGGTGAGCTAGCATTGTCTCAAATCAATCTGCGTAATATACTGACTTTGCTAAAGCCTGGAAGACCTTCTCGCGATGGTGAGAATCCACCGAGACGCCCTCGAGCAGTTGACTGACGCCGTCCAGGCAAATGAGAACAGACGAAACCGAAGAGGAGAAGCGCAAAAAGCTGGAGACGTTCGAGTTCATGAAGAAGTTTCGGGAAACATTCAGCAGGCCCGTCTGTCGCATCGAGTTCATTGGCCTGTTCGATTGTGTCAACAGTGTTCCTCAATTCGAATCTGCTTGGATGACACGGTCAAAGTTTCCGTGAGCACCTTCGGAATGGAGTACTTTCGAGCCCTGCTAATGTTCGCCAAGGTACACTGCGAAGACCACGGCTCGCGTGATTAGACACGCGGTATCTATTGACGAGAGACGTGCCAAGTATGTCTTGTTCCCGCCAAACAATGAGAGCGATGTGGCTGACGCAAATACGCAGGTTCCGACAAGACCTGATCTCAGAGCGACGACATGGCGTCGCTGGCGCAGAACGTCACCACAATTTCGGCGAATTAGGAGACCAGATTGCAGAGCACATGCACTTGCATTCCTCGGAACATGTTCAAGAGAAGGAGAAGCCAAGGCCGCAGAGTGCAAAGAGGCCATCCATGAAGAAGAGCCACAACTCCGAGGCATTGTTCCGGGCAGATAGGAGACGAAAGCACCGAGCTCTTCAGCAAATACCTGCAAGTTCGGCGGCCTCTCAGATCTCGGTCAACTCTGCAAACATCGTCTCGCAGATTGAGCATGACAACAACCGAAACGGTGTGCTGGACGATGATGATCGTCAGGATATACTCGAAGTCTGGTTCGCAGGCCAGCATGGTGATATCGGCGGAGGTAAGTCTTGGTTCTCTCTACCTCGGGCACGCGGTGTTTCACTGTGTCCAGAAGCTGATCGCATTGTCCAGGCTGGCCATTGAGCAAAGGCGAAGATCGGCCTTTGAGTGACATTGCTCTGATGTGGATTCTGCGAGAGGCTCAAAAAGCAGGCATGCCGTTAGACCCTGACAAGGTCAAAGCTTCGAATCTCTTCCCCGACGAGCCAGAGCCAGACGTGGACGTGGAGGCACCGCTGTTGCAAGTTGAGGGCCAGGAGGTGCCTGAAAGCCCGAAAGCAACGTTTGACGGGCCAGCTTGGACTGAAGAGATCCATCGCATTGCTACGACAAGCAAAACGCATGACTCGCTGAGATTTGGAGGTGGCCTCGGGTGGAGTGCGGTCGCAGCGTGGAAATTTATGGAGTGTAAGTCCTCGCTTTGAGTTCGAGTGTCAGTAAGTGCAACCGACTAACAGTATGGGCAGGGCTGCCATTTCGCCGCATGGATTTGCAAGACGATGGTAGCTGGAAAGCGATCTCCTGGCCGTTGCCTCGTGGTGAAACTCGCGATATGAATCACGACTGCAAGATCCACCACTCGGTCATCAAACGCATGGAGCACGATCCATCATATCGGCCGGGTAACCTGATCGTCGGAGGAGGCGGCCGTGGATTTATCAGGGCTCCGAAAGAATATGGACTAGGTGCGTGGGAGATTATTCTCGAGCCAGGCGATGCCATTGGAGAGGTGAAAAGGAAAGTCCAGACCGAGTCGAACGGGTCGGCGAACGGCGCGGCATCGAATGGCAAATCGAAATAGTATGATCTGAGGCGAGCTTCTATTGCTTCTGATAGTGATGTAGGTGAGTGTCACTAAAGTCGCGAAAGTCTATACGACGTGTTGTTTTGATGGACAGGTGACACTCCGCCAATCATGAGCAGGCTTGGCAGTCATGAGAAAGGGGCCAAAATCAGACTTCGACATCTACACTCCTGCATCAACTTCCGCTCGAAGTGGGACGAAATGGCCACTTCGAGCGGAATCATGAACTGCTACCGCCACACCTCCGCTGCAAGAGGGTTTAAGCGCTGGTACTTCCGATTATTTAGAAAGTCTGATGAATATCCCGGTTTGAGTTGGATGAAGATGGGAGGGGCGATCTATTCCGGTCTCGTCTATGAAGGCAGGACGTCTCTTCCGCTGAGAAAAGACACTAAATCATACGGTTACGCCAGCAGGCAAGTAGGTGATCAGGCTAGTCTCGGGTTTCATGAGGAGCAACTGCCCGGACTACTGCTCAGTTTCAAGAGCAACATTTGACATCTCCGTCGGATGTTGCTCCACGGCAAATGCTATTGAATTCTGGGATTGAACAGTATGTTTGAAAGACTACCTTTACAGACCTGAGTCGGCCTCCCGTTGCGATCCGAGACGTGATTGTTTGCAGTCGGACGTCAACTATGTCATGCGAGTGTAGACACCTGCACGGTACGGTCTCTGCCACAGCAAAGATGCGGGTTCCTTTAAGACAGCTGAATGTCGAACATAAGAATCAATGAGAGCGCCATCTATACATGAAAGCTTTCACATCATCAAGCAACGTCAGCATCGATCATCTACGTGTGTGCGGGCCTCAACTAAAGCTCATGTCATCTCCTGACTACTCAGACATCCACCCACAATTCGATCCACCATGAGACCAACGACTATCATCGCCATCACGCATGCGTTCGCGCTTGCGAGTGCAATGGCCGTCTCCCCGAACAAATACGTTGCGACACTTCTCCGTCGTCACTGGTCGAATGATTTGAGCTTTTTGGAATCGTACACAATCAGATGGAGGGAAAGGAAGATCAGATATGTACCTTGATGTTGGTAGAGACTGACACTATATACAGAAAAGGTTATGCAAGGCGAGACGTCCTCTTCTTCGACGTTCCAGAACACATCCACAGGTCTCGGGACAAATGTTGCAATAAAGAGGCCGTTGTTCAGGTATTGAAGCGAGTAGGCTTCAGCGGAACCATAGAAGCCATCACATTACCATTCCCAGTGAATGTGATTGGCTGCACTTGTACCTTCCTTGGACCAACAAAACTCCCATCTTTGCTGTAATAACAGTCGTACGCGAGCCAGGGTTTGCCGTCGGGGCCAGTAAATGTCGAGGCGGAACCTGGACCTTGAACACCGTTGGTGGTGCTGTTCTGCAGAATGGTGGTAATGGGCAGTCCGCTCCATGTGCTACGACTGACGAGGTTGGAGCTGGTGGATGTAGAGAGCCGCCGGACGTTGTAAAAGGGGGTCTGATACATATTCTCGCTCCAGAAAATGTTCACGGTATCACCCTGCACTAGTGCGCCAGGGGCTTCTTGCACAGGCGGATTCCCTGTCGTGCTGACAATGAGAGCAGCATTTGCAACAGTTGTCTCGCTGGTGAGCTGAGCAATGTAAATGCTGTGGCCGGAGTATCCGTACAAGAGGTACTTCTTGCCGTTGACGTCGAACGCTTGACTGTCGTACCCGACGAGGACCTTGCCATTTTCATCTTTAATCTGTCCGAGTTCCTTCCAGCCTTTGGTAAGATCAGTTCCCGTGTTTTGCAACACCCTGATGCCACTGCTCTGAGGATTGATGGCGACCGTGATGATGTAGTTATTGGTGCCATATTTATAGAAGCCGGTATCGTTGGGGGTATACGTCGTGTTCCAGATAGTGTAGTCGTTCGCCTGGTCTGACAAGACAGTGTTGAGATCATTCGAAATTTGGAGCGTTACCAAGTTTCTGCCATTGGCGGCCGGCACGGCAATGTTTGGAAAATAGTACTGGCGAGTCCCGGACACCACTTGTGAGAAAGCGCTCGGGTCCTTTCCTATGCCAAGGGCATTCTGAACGCCCTGAACAGTCTGTCGCTCCTCCAGTGGACTCGCACTGGCGAAGACACTGGCGATCGCTGTGATCCCCAAGAGTTGCTTCAACATTGCTCTGTCCAATGTCGGGCTGAACTGGGGTGCTAACGAAGCCGGGGAAGAATGTCAAGGGAATAGAAAATCTTTCTGGTTTAGGAGCGTCAGATGCACCTTTTGTGCAAAAGAAGTCGATCTTAACTCAGCGAAGCTGCGTGTCTGCTGTCTAGAGGAAAAGGTGCGAATTCTGTAACGCTTAAATACATGTTCACGGCGCTCAGAAGCACAACTCACTCGCCATTACAGCCTTACAGTCCATGCTGTCTCCAGCAATAGCGTCTGAGAAAGCATGCATTGTGTTAGGTGGTCCAACTGATCCTTGTGTGGTGGGAAACGCTGCCCTTCATCCTTCGCTCTCTAGCGCAGTTTTCCCCATGGGGGTCGGCTCCGCGGGTCCGCTACTACATATGCAAGCATCGAGTAACGAAATGCTACTGATTGGACGAGCATGAGACCTCGTAGGTTCAAAAGTTGATTTGTACTGACTGTTTGTCCCTGCGCTTACTATGTGGAGGAGATCCGAGGAGGCAGAGATCAGATCAAGGGGCAAGGGTGCACGGACTTCACGTTCACATGCAGCTAGTGCGCGGACCTTGATTGGAGTTGGGGAAGTGGTGGATGCTGCCAACACTTTTGTACATATCTTCGCCAAACATGACAAGTTAAGAGTTAGGCGCTACCGAAGTGATATAGCACCGTTCCGCTTTAATGGACAGTTTTGTTGACTTCATCGGCCGGAATCTTTTCCCTCCGGCCGTGCCACTCGTGTGTATGGACCGGTCGATGTAGACTGCGGAGCCTCGCTCGTTAAGGGTTTCAGGTCCCATCTCGGCCCAACAGCCTGACATCCTGATAGCTTTGCTCAAGCATTAGAGCATGGAAGAGCGGTTTGTCCTTCCATTGAAACCTTCCGTCGTCATTCTTCCACGTTGTTTTGGACATAGTAGAGGTTCCATGCTTTTCTTCATGACCTTCGCCAGATGTAGCGGCATGAAAGTACATTTTCCCTGCCAGGGAACTCTCGTGACAACATTTGTAGGACATGTTTCGGGCTCAGGCCATGCTTACGACGAAGCCATCGCCTTTTTCACCCTCCTCGGTGTCAGAGTCGTTGAAGAAACCTCATTACCATCCCAGCCAAAGCGATGGCTTACCATACGACCACCAGGACCTCCATCTTCATCCCGCAGCACGGACTTAGACTGACCCCAACAGCAAAACAGACCTGGGCCAAATGTGAAGTCTTGGCAGACGTCGGGTTTGGAGCGTGGGAGGGCCTGCAAGGCTGATATTTGCAAGATGTCACACAAGACTGGATTTGGAGGCAACAGGTGAGTTTCATGGATGTGAGGTAGTCGTCAGATGGCCAGCTGACCATGGGACCTTTTGGGTTTGGTCGCGACGGACTTGGTGTGGAAGGGCTCGCGACAGATGGCGAATGTTTGCTGTTGTGCGGTACTTGCCTCCTTTGGCTTTGGCCGACGATTTCACTTTAGTGCTGCCGAGCCGTGAGAGCAAAGAGTACAGAGATCAACTCGGGGTCGCATCCAGAGCAGGATCGACGTAAGTGTCCAAAGTATCGTCCACGTCCCGAAGATCTAGACTGAGAGGAGATGCTGCGGGGCATTCACGCCACATAGCACGGGCGTGGGTGTTGGATGGCAAAACCCAAACGGCGTAATTGATCCCAGCCAGCGCTAATCATGGCCTGTCTGCATTGGAGCTGAAGCCGATATTGTCAGGTCTGGGTGGTCAGCTAGACAACTCATGTACGCTCCGAGGCAGAGCAAATTGTGTGGTACTTCCTCGGTACAGTCAAACCTGGATAACGTAATATTCCGTAGGAACATAACCTCTTTAACGCTATACTTTCAGCTTTAACTTCTAAAATTCGGTGTAAACCTCTTACCTGCCTATATTACCTTAACCTAATTAATTTATTAGCTAAACTAGGTATTAAAAAGATACTTTTAGACCGTAAGATACCTAGCCTTTTAGTCTCTTAAAAGAAGGCCTTTTATTAATATATATAATAATACCCTTAGCTAACTTAAAAATAACTCTAGTAGTAGTTCTTAAACGAATTTTAGCGTAGTATAATATAGCCTATAGTCTTAGAAAGCCTCTTAACTAAATATAACTTCTTAGATAGTAGCTACGATCTACTACTATAGAAGAAGTAACGCCTCCGTATATCTTACTAGCTAGAGCTTAAGACTACTCTATTCTAATAGTACTAATAGAATAAAGAGGATAGTATTATAACTAGTAATTTAATTAAGAAGTAGGTAGCTAGGTTTTAGAAGAGACTACTATAATACCGTAAAATAGAGGTACCTATATTTAGTAATAGCTAGCTATAAGGCTTTAAGTTAAGGTATAATATTAAGTAAAGAGTAAGATACGGAGAGGCTAGAAATATAGACTCTTAGGTACTTAAAAAGTAGCTTATTATAGTACGGGCTATTATAAGCTAGTTTGCCCTTTTAGACTACTATAACTATAACGAGACTAGCTTGTTCTATAAGTATATACTAGACAAATTACTTATAAGCTAGGCTAGGCTAGGAACTAAGTAAAATAAAGCTAGGATTACTATATATTTATATATAAATACGGATAGTAGTAATAAACTACCTCTTTAGTTTATTAGTAAAGCTATATACCCTCGCTACTTTAGTACAGCTAATATTTAACTATTAGTACTAGATTATATTTATAAAGCTAATAATAAGGCGTAGATAAATATAGATTTTATAGCTAAATAGCTATACTAGTTCTTAAGAAGGGTTAGCTAGAGAAAGGTTCTACTTATTATAGATAACTTTAGTACCTATACTATAGCTATCTAACTTATATAGACTTAGTAGCTACTATATAATATTATATTTATATAGCTTCCTCTAAATATAATATTACGGAGCTAGCTACTAGATTAAAGTATTATCTATTAAGCTAAGACTACTCTATAGGGTTTATATAGGTATCGAACATAGTAGAAGTAACTAAATTAATAAATAATAGTAGGAACTAACCTAGGTGTAATTATATTAGTTAGTTATAGGAAGTAGGAGGACTAAAAAGAGGTAAGCTCCCTTTAGTTATATAACTCTTAGTATTAATACCTTAGGTATCCGTCTTAGCCTACCTATCTAGACTATACTATCTAATACTCCTACTTAGGCTAGTATATATATCTTCTCTATTCCTAATAAGGATACTTATATTAGGCGTAGATCCTACTTTCTATCTAGTAGCTAATTAGAGCTATTTATTTAACTACTAGCTAGTTAGTTAAGTAGTATAATTCTAGACTATAGAAGTTACCCCTAAGTAGATATCCGCTAAGCGTTCCCGCGCTCTTAGGCTCTATCTAATAATTAGGGTATACGATAGGAATCTAGAGGTATAGGTTTAATTCCTATACTAGCTAACTCTTTTTACTCTAAGGTTAGGTCTAGTAAGAAGATCTAAGCGATAGTATATAAAGTAAAAGAATTTTCCTCTATCTAGTTAGGTGTTAGAACCTATTCTACTACTATAGTATAGTAGTAATAGCTATAGTATAACTCCTAGGTCTAGTATTCTATATAATCTTACTTTTACTAAAAGCCGAAGGTAAGATTATATAGCCCCTTTTTATCCCTAGGCTATATAAAGTTACTTTATAAACTCTTAGAATTAAGGTCTATTTTTTTTTTTTATACTATTATAGATATAAGTATTTTTAATAAGTATTAAAGCTACTTAATTGTCTCTATTTAAGATTACTAGCTTTAGGCTATTAACTATACTTCTATCTACTTTAATAAGTAGTTAAAATAAGTATTCTCCTATTAGCTCTATATAGTCTACTTCTTTTAAGAGTATAGAGAGAAACTAAGCCTACTTTATATATATATTTATTACTATATACTTAGCCTCTATTATTAATATTACTATAGACTTCTACTTTCTACTTATCTAAAAAACTAGTACTCTATAGAGGAAGAATATATACCTAAGGATTAAAACTCTATCCTACTTATCTATTATATAGTTAGAATCTAAGTATCCCTATAGTTTATTATTCTCTCCTCTTCTAAATATAATTCCTAGATCTAGATAAAATCTAAGATATCTTCTAAGCTTTTTTAATAATCTTTATCGAGGGCGCGATATTTTCGCGCCCCGTTCGGACTGCTTTTACGGCCTTTTTCGGGCGTACTTTTACTAGATTTCCTACGCGCCCCTACGCTTTTAGCTACGATCGGTCCGGCCCGTACGTCCGCTTAACCCCGGTCGCTTTACCTCTATTAAACTCTCTTTCCGGAGCCTAAAATAGAGGGCTTAACTTTCGACGTAGCCGCCTAACCCTAGGGGTATTATACTATCGTATAGCTATATTACGCCCGTGCCGCCGCCTTTTATTAGCCCCCCGGGGCCCTCTATTATTACCGTCGATCCGCGCTTCTTTCTCGCCTCCTCTTACCGTACTTTTAACCTCCTAGCTAGCGTACTATTATAGCGAGCTCGATTAAACCTCGCCTTTACCGCCGAGATTATACCGCCCCTCGATTAGCTATCTACGCTATCTAGGACCTCGATACTATAGACGTAGGCTTAGCGGAATACTATCGCTATAGAGAAGAGGAGTTTAACGATACCTCGTATACGTAGAAGATCTATAAAGTAGGTATAGAGAGCTTAAGTAATTAGATTAAAGAGCTATAGTACTAGTATACGAGATACACCTTTTAAAGTTAACGGTAAACTAACTAGCGCTAGGTTAGATATTACGAGTACGTCGAAAAAGAGCTAATAGGTATATTAAAAGCTATACCTATTAAGGTTCTTAATAACTTCTTCTACTATATCCTCTACGTACGACGGGCTAGTATACGTTACGCTAGTACCCTATAGACCTATTAGAATATATTTACGCTTATACGGCGGAAAAAGACGGGTATTATAGATATTAACCCTCTCGTTAAGACTTAGATATACGGCGTAAGCTATCCTATTATACTATCCCTCCGTCCTATTTACGTACTAATAATACGTAGATACGCTAGAGACTAGCTATAGATTTCGAGCTAAGTACGGAGAGGAAACTAAAAGTAATCGTACGGGCCGAGGACGAATTCGAGCTACTAAAGGTCCTCTAGGGCTCGAGTCGAGTACCTATAGAGTACGAGCGCTTAAGAGTATAGCTAGCGTTATTAATTTAGCTCGTAGGAATTACTAGTAGTCGCCTAAGTACTCTAATAGGTATTATATATAGCGACTTTGCGCTCTCTCTCTTTAAAGATCCGGAGGGAGGTAAATAGCCGAGGCTTGTTATTAACGTTACCCTTACCTAAATAAAGAGCTATCTAGGTCTAAAGGCTTAGTACGTAGCTATTATCTAATAATTTCTATCTATTAGCTAACGAGATCGTTATAGTAATACGATCCCTATCCCGTAAGTCGTAAGCGAGCCGTACCTTCTTCTCTACCCTTAGATTATACTCCTAGGTCTAATATTTACCGATAAAGTGTTTAACGGACTTACTAAACCCGACTAACTCTTCCGCTTAAAAGTTACTCTAGGTCTGTACGAGTAGCGGCTACTAATTAAAGAAGAGTAGTAGCGGATTCCTATCTTTCGCTAGCTTAAGAACGAAGCGCACGGCGTAGTTGTGTCGCTAGACTTAGCTGCGACCGCGATCTAGCTACGAGACAAACTTAACGCCTTAGGCAAGGCTATAGGCTTCTACCTTCCGGTCGGCCCGTACTACTTCCGACGGGGTGCAGGTGAAGCTTTCGATAGCAGTAGTAAGTACTGCGCGTAGGCACACCCGTACCGATCGCTAAAACACATCAGGCTACATTAGCGACTTATAGCGAAACCTTATCCTACAGTATACCTCCTCCGCCGTCTTCTAGAACAGCTACTTGTCTCGATATATTACGGCGGATACATAGGCTGCCTTTCGCGGTCTTGAGCCGCAAACGGCGGTTATACGAGCGGCTAGTAGCATGTCGCGCACAATCGATCCTCGTCGGCTAACGGCGCTTACAGCCGAGTAGCAGTCCTAAGTTGCAAGACACCTAGAGATTAGACTACTTCGAAGGTATCGGAAAGGGCTTAAGAGCAAGATCCGTAATTAGTATAGGACAATTACTCGAGCAAGGGGCTCGGCTATCTACAATGTCTATCGAGATACGATCCGCGACTGCTAGAACACAAGTAAGGCCGTCCGTAAGGCGATAATCGCCGAGAGTAGGAGACTGTACTAACGATATCAGCCTACACTAGATATCGAGCGGTAACTGAACGATAGCGTCGACAAGAGGCCGTAGAACGCCGGGACAGAGGACGAATAACCCCTAAGCAGCTATCGTTCTCGGGCGCTTAACGCACTCCTTACCTTTGTCACTTTAGACCTAGAGGAAGAAAGCAGGCGTCGCTCCGAAGCTATCGCTGCCGTAGCTGCACTGAGCTAAAGGCGTGAGCCGGTCATGCCTAAAGTCTGCCGCCCTCGCAGCGTGAATACACTATCGACGCTATTAGAAGATGATGATAAGAAGGATGAAGTATCCCCGTCTTTTCTACTGGTGTGTCACCCTACACAATGCATATTCTGCCTAGGGGACACGACGCTGCCCTCCGAGCGCCGCGCAAAGGAGTTCCACAGTCGAGGGACTTTGAGGAGACATTTCCAAAATCGACATCTACAGTACCTCCCGGATGACGAGCGAGTCGAATGTCCACATCCTCGCTGCAAGATCACTTTGAACAGCAAAATGCACCTCCAGAATCACGCAGAGGTGGTGCACAAGACTGTTACGTGACAGCAACTGGTGCCTATCCCCTCAGGACCTACTGCTGCGGCTGGTTTTTCTTTGCCAACACTTAACAGATGAGAGAAGGAACAGCATAGTCCTGGATCGGGAAGCCCTGTTGCTGACACCTATGTTCTCATTGTCGACACATCAATCCTTGACTTCTGATGCGCCGAACTGAATATTGTACATCAAAAGAAACACTTTCACTTGTAGCATCCGTCGTCGATGAAGATGGCGGGGCTTTCAAAGATTTACCTCCGTAAGATCGGCTGATTGCTGCGGCGATGACAGAGGTGCCCACCATCGACAGTCTCTTGTTGCCATCAGGCGTGACCTGCCAATGTATCACGATTCCAACACCGGGGGCTTGCAAAGCTTCTCGTAAAAGGTCAATGTCTTGAAAAGAGTAGCCAAGTATGCCCTACGCTCGCTGTGGATCACAGCTTCTGGACATGATGGAGAATGCTTCCTGACTGGCGACCCTTATACAAGCCGAAAGAGCTCTGATGATTGCCCTGGATCAGAGTGTGGACACCAATAGGGATCTCTCTCTGTCGCATCGTATTGCCCATGGATTTTGCACCTACGGTGCATTAGCTTGGATGTCGGGGCTCGGACAGGGTTTCGCCGCTCGAATGTCGACCTACACAGTGCATCTTCTGTCTCGGGGCGACGAAGTTTTCCATGGAACAAAAGGAGTTCCACAGTCGCGGCACTTTCCAGAGACATTTTCGCAATCGCCATCTCCGGTTCTTTCCCGATGACCAGCTAGTCGATTGCCCTCATCCTCGATGCAGTATTACACTGCACAACAAAAGGCACTTACAGAACAACGCAGAGACCATCCACAAGACCGCGACATGAGCGCATCTAGCTTCATTCTCGCCCTCGACTTGGCTTACGGTGGCCGAGACAAAATCGGAAAGCACAGTCGGGAAATTTCATCTCATAAGGAACAAAGGGTTGACGGGACCAAGCTTAGAATCTCAATTGGTCGCATATTAATCGGCGTGCTGGAAACAGACCTTGAAGCCGGCAATCACCAACTTCACAATGATCATACTATGTGCGAAGCATAACATTGACATCTGTCAAGTTGAATATCTTAAGTTTCTCTCCAGCACCCGGCACGTCATGTCACAATGAACGCTCCAAGTTTGGACGTTGACTTCGCCGCGAGTAGATGAATAAGTCCTACGGTGGAAATCTCGTTGAACTCGCTTCACGGGCCCACCGCTTCGCCTCCGCTTGCCAGAAGCCAATCACTTGCGGTCAGACACGGAATAATTTCCGAAACGCCGGCGACTCGCCTTTGGAAAAGACAAACGTCTCGAGACTTGGGCAGATATGGATAGGCACGCCTTCTCCAATTTTTGCAGCAACAACCGAATATGTCTGAAACAACGCCCGCTGGACATTCCCTGGAAAATCCCTTGGATGCTGACATACTACAGACATTCTCTGAAGACGAACGTCACGAGCCGTGGTTTCCCCGGGTATACAGCGCAGAGCAAGACTTACCGTTCGCCGCGGATGGTGTTTCGCCGTCGCTTCCCGGGAGGCGCATTGAGAACGCTATAGGTATTTACGAACCATTTCGAGAGCTTCGATGTGTCCGCAAGTTCATCACCGAGCACGGAATGGATGCAGGAGAACCATCGATCCGACGACAGATGGTCCAGGAGGCGAAATTATTGTACGCTGCTCGCCATTACCATGTCGTTCGGCTCCTACAGACATACTTTCAAGCATTTGATGAGGACGAATACCCATTCGCGATTATTATGGAGAGGGTTGACAAGAATCTTCGACACTATCTACGGCGAGGAAGGACGCCCTCGGCGTCGTGGTTCGGTTGTCTGATCCAAGTGGTCCACTATATTCATGGACTTGGCATTCGTCACCGAGATATAAAAACCAGGAATATCTTAATCAAGGACGGGAGGCCTTTGCTTGCGGACTTTGGCCTGTCTCAAATGGGATTAGGGAAGACAATGCCCACAACCATTGCCACCCGCATCCCTGGCCGAACCCCCGGCTACTGTGCTCCAGAAGTTGCCAACGGTAGCACTCGTGGTCGATCTGCAGACATATTTTCTTTGGGTGCAGTATTCCTTGAAATGCTTGCAGCGCTAGAGGGACCACAAAGCCTGGGACATCTCCGCAGTATCGTTCCCGAAGATAGTGGTTCTTACAGCGAGAATGTTGGCAACCTTCAAAATTGAATGGTCAACGAATTCCATCCGGAGTCTTGGCGACAAGACGTTTTGGCTCTTTGTCAGAAAATGCTCCTCGCTGATCGACATGCTCGACCGTCTGCGGACCAGGTTCTGCAGGAGTGGTTATCGTTGCACGGTCCCTCCTCCTCGCTACTATGTAGGTGTGGAGAGGATCAATGTGTTAGTCCAGATGAGCAATTGGTTGCGGCATGCCAAAGTGGGTCGATAGACGACGTTGCAGCCTCATTGGAAAGGGTCTCAAAGCCTCAGATCTCGCGCGCGATTCATTTTGCTGCAACACGGGGGTCTGCGACCATGGTTCGAATGTTACTGGAAACCGGCGCAGCCGTGGATGCTCGAACTGCTGTTGGGCAGACCGCGTTGCAATGTGCGAGTCAAAATGGATGTCTCGATGTGGTCCAACTACTTTTGCAAAGCGGTGCAGACATCGATGCTCAAGACGAAAAGGGACGGACGGCTTTGCAAGGAGCAGCCGCACATGGGCACGAGGCGATTGTGAGTGCACTTCTGGATGCCCACGCAAATACGTCTCTCAAAGACCGCGACGGAAGAACAGCACTTACTTTTGCATCCCAGAGGCTCTTCTTGCGTATTCAGGCGATGTTGCAAAGGGCAGCGCAATAAGTCTCCAAATCGTGGAAGTATGGACTGGTGCATTCATCACAGTGCTCTTGATGTTTGAGTGTCATGCTGAAGTGGTTGCAACGGAGTACATAGAGATATTGCGCAGCGCCTCCTTTCATGTCTACCTGCTAGAGTCTAAATTGATGCCGAAAGTATTTGGAGCTTGTCAACCACCAGCTCGCTGAACGTGTTTTGAAGCTCAACCCCGACTATGGGATCCGAATCCACTGCATTTTCTCCCACACGCATACCAAGCTCACCATGAGCTACAAGACAGCGTCGAGTTACCTCAAAATACTGATCCCCAGCCACATCACGCAATGCAAGAAGTGGATTTTCTTCGAAAGGCTCATGCTTAAGTTCACCAAGTAGCCAACCACGAATTTGGCAGTCTTGTAATGTTGGCAAGGGCCACGATTCCAGGCACACAAAGTCGCACAGCGGCTTCCAGTGGGCGATTTCTAGCAGCATAAGACCTAGGCTGTAGATGTCATAAGTCTTTCGAGAGCTCGTAGTCTTGGGGGCCTCGCTCTGAATGCTTGGCCATCGGTATATGTCCCATCTGGGATCAGTGCCTCGCGAAGTGGTGCCGCTGCTTTGCGGCCTTGAATATTCAAAGCCGGAAAGGATCGGGCTATCAAAATCGACATTGTCTTGCTCGCAAGCGAACACGACGTTACCGCTGTGTATGCCTTTATGGAGCCAATCTGCCGTGTGGAGATAGAGTAAAGACGATGCCACCTTCCAGGAGAGGGAAAAGCGTTGGACCATGCTCGGACGATACCTTTTTTGGCCCAACATGCTATGCAAGGTCTTCAGTATGGTGTTTTCATTTGAACCATGGGGCATCTCAAAGACCCAGCCCACTTTGTTTTTCAGGTGGCGGTAATCCACAAAGGCCATGCAGGGGGGTGCAAAGAGGCCTTTCGGTTTGTCCTCGGAAAGCATCTGCGCGAGGGTCCACGTTCTTACCCAAGACTCTTTCTCCTCGGACGACCCGGGCATGGAATCGTCCGTCATTCTCCATTCAATCCATACTTCATGTTGCTTTCCATTCTGAACGAAAGTGCCGCGCGGCCGGCGGGGGTCGTGCCTTGTTGGCGTCTTTGCTGCATGACTGCTGAAGCTGCCCTCGAATGTGACGGCGTCACAGCCGGAAACGGTAATCACGCCACCAAGGCTATCCTTGACATCGAGACAGGCATTTTGCTTAATTTGAAGAGACACCTCGTCCGAAATACACTTGAATCTTTTCAACTGCAGAAGTTCTCGCAGGGTTTGGTTCTCGTCCTCGCTGCAGGTGCTATCCCAGCCGCCTGCAGAAAGCTGCCCAGCGGTGACGATTGCGTGCAAAACGGTCTTGATCTCACGGAGGTCGTTTCGAACGACAACCATCTCGCGGAATGTTTTCGCCGTGACCTCGCGGATTTGTCGTATCTCGTGGTCGCCCATTAGTTCCCTCAGTCTTTCGGTCAGGCGGTGGAGGTCAGTCAGCAAAGCCTCAAACGCCGCTCCGTCCATTACCACCCACCGCACCCGTCGAGGGTGCGACAGTATATCTTTGGCGGTATCTGTAGCCTTGGCCATCCATTTGACGATGTTACGGTCTTTGAGCCCCTTACGGCCTTTGAGCCCCTTGCGTTCCCCCATACCGCTCTTGTATAGCGACGCTAGCGTAGAGACTTCTGCCACAACGTCAATTTCCTCGGCAATTAGTACGGCCATTTCCTTATCACTTGGCATTGTGTCGTTGTTCCACCTGGCAAATAGCTCCTTGAAATCGTCCAGAAGTGCACCGATTCGAGCGACGACGCTACACAGTTCCACGGCATTTGTTCCTAAGCTTGCTGCAAGGTGCGAACCGCTGGGACATTCGATAAGACCGGCGGTATAGCCCCAGGCAAGGAGCCGGTTGTATTCCATCACGAATCGTACTCGACATCCCTCATAGTCCTTCGGCATGTCTACCATGGAGCAGAAGAATTTGAAAACTGCGTCTATCAGGACCTATGACCCATATATCAGTGGTTGGGCACTCACGCTTCACTGAATGGTCGAAGACATCGAAGGCTAGAGAGGTGACACCACAGCCAAGTCCAATTCCGCTAGCAGGATCCATCCCGACGATACTCTGTTGCAGATGTGCGAGGGAGCAAGACACAGTCGAAAAGGAAGACGAGATGCCATGCTATCGGGTCCTAGTTCGATTATTTGAAGAAAAATTAGCCGCCGGGTCCTCCATAGCAACTCAACACTAGTACGCGGGGCGTCCCGCGAGACCAACGTCTCTTGAGTACGTACAAGCTCATTTCTCAGTCTCGAGGGGCCCAATTCATGGACTTGAGCCAAACCCCTAGACAAATATTATCTACGAACGAATTTCTGTGCAACCTCTTGATATTCCCTGCTCACCTGACGACGACTCAAGGTCAACATCTCGTCGCCGGGCTTCACGTCAAAGGCCCCAGAGTCCCATAATCAATGTTAAACCAGTCTTGATGGAAATTTTAAAGACGCGCACATTGATGGAATGACAGTCAACCCGCTTCAAGTGCTCGAATCCCGGTCCGGATTCTGGCATGACGCTTTTGCTTGCTGGAGGGTAGCGACTGCCACGTCAAAGGCCCCAATAATCGGCTTGTACAAAACGTAAGGGTCTTGCGGGGTTCCTGTGAAGAGACCATCTCTATATGGAAACAGGATATCTCGGATCGCTCTGCAGAGAGGCTTGACAGTCTCAAATGCGCTGGGGAAATCTTTGAGGATGTCCTCGAGCCCGCTTCTATCTATGTCTCCGCGCTTGTTCCTTGCGATGTCCTTGTAGGTCCCAGTATACCATTGAGAAAGGACGGAGACCTTGGATCGCGATTTCGCAGGCGCATCAAGATGCCACCCTCGGCGAGCACACAGCCATATGAGAACATAGAAGAAGGCCTCAAGGTCGTGACGATAGGTGTGCGATATTCGTAGCAGGACTTCAATCGCCATGAACTCCATAGTTCCGGTACGGTGTCGAGCTTCGGCCCCTTGCCCTCTTCCTTTGCAAGGTCCAGGTCAATGAGCATACCTTTAAATCCGTCGCCATTAGGCGAATCTGTGATGATGATGTTGTTCTCCGAGATGTCTCGATGAAGAGTTTTTCCGTCCAGGTAGAGCGATCGATGGACTTTGATTGCATCGCGCAAGCCTTCTAGAAGTTCCGGGATGGATTTGAACTGGCTGATTGACCTTCCCGTGGGCGTTATGGCCAGTACACGAAAGATTCGATTGGCGTAAGGCAGGGGCTCTATAGGCACCAAACTTGTCCCCTCAGGCTCTTGCACTGCATAAGCTGGGCTTTTCTGACCAGTGCCGGCCCCAAAAACACTACTGTTCAACTGCGGCCTTTTCCAGGGATGATTGGAAGCATTTGACGACTTCCGTTTTCTAGACTGGCTGCTAGTGACGGTGAGACCTTGGAATTGACTGAACGAATGGCGGGGAGGCAGAGACTGTAAACCGTCATTGTTCGTAGCTCGCTGAATGTCTCGAAATTTGTGTGCTGCTGGGAATGCAAGTCCGTGGCGTAAATCTTCGTCGCTGTCTGTGTCGTCCTCGTTGGAGTCCTCTAAGTCTTCCCCCAAAGTGTCTGGCTGGTCTCGACAAACACGTATGCAGGGTTGTTTTCGGGTGAATTCGCGCCGTTGACCTGCGGGATAGACCCATCCAATCGGTGCTGTACAGCGTGCTGGACGTTGTGAAAACACTGTGCAGCCAACTTTGGGGCAGTCGGAGTAGAGCTGGTAGTTGTGAGGAGAAAGTCTTCGCTTCAAGGGCGGGCAATATCCTGCTTGCCAGCGTGTGTCGGCGCGCTGATTGTTGCACATGTAAGCGGTACTTTCAAAGCTTGACCTTTGGTTCTCATCTATATTTGTTGATGAGCTTCAATTGACTAGCGAACGAGGATGGTGTCTCGCTGCCAGGAAATTCTAGAGAAGATAGTCTCGGGAGAAAAGCAGGAGCCATATCAATGCTCACGCGATGATAAATGCGTCCGTAGCCGCCCTCCAGCCGAGTATGCAGCATCGAGCAGATACAAGAACGGCAGGCGGTAGCTCATGACATCTGAAAGGACGAAACTGGACAGCCATGTCGCGAAAGTACTGTGCGCATGAAGGGAGGCGCTTGCGCTCGCGGGCGGCAAGCGCGATTGGCCTCCCGCCCGCCCGCCCGCCCGGAATACTGCAGGGGTTTGTGTCTTCAGGTGCTTATTTTACCGACAGCAAGAAACGTTAGAAGGCGAAGTTATCTTGCACGAAGATCCAATAGCAATTCCGTCAAGATGCGCTCGTGGGCGTTGCGTGCGACGGATTATAGCGTGCGAAGGTAGGGTTACCGATATAGTATAGTCCTAACTGTAGAGATATTATAAACTCTCGCGGATTACAAACTATACCGCTAAAGCAATTATTAGACTAAAAAGAAAATAAAAGTTACTACAGGCGATCTAGAGGACTAGTAAATAGTGTAGTTTAGTAGGATTATATAAATATAAATTCGTACTACGGGGTCGACTTTTAAACTAGGTAAGTATCTATTAAATAGCGTAGATCCTTTATATATCGGAAATAATAAGAAACGATCGCCTTTTACGAGTAGGTATAATTATAAAAAGCTTATACGAAGTATTCTAAAGCGAATATTTTACTAGCTTTCGAAGGAGATTCGATAGGGAAAGTACTAGGAACTACTATATAATCTAGTACTAACGATCCTTTACTACTATAAATTTATAGTATAGTTCCTAGTTATCGACATAATTTATTATAGGAGGTGTATTAGTCTAATAGCGTATCCTAGACTCTTTTTTGTCGCTAAGTTACTAGTTATTAAAATACTAAACGAGAGCTTTCTACCGTAGGCTTAAGTAGCGAAGATATATATAACTTAGTATAGTAATCTACTTCTTAAGAGAGTAAAAAGAGAAAGCTATACTACCTCTATTTATAGTACTTTACTAGACTCCTCCTTAGCTATATAATAATTATAGTAGGATTTCTTTTCCTTTAAGCGATTATAGTAAAGTCTTTACAAAACGATATCTCCTACTAGATTTTATAGATATAAAATACTTAAGTTTAGGGTATATTAGCCTACCCTATACGCGAAGACTTACTAGGTTAATTACTTAGAGTAGCTTTTTAGTCTATTACCGAATTATTATATCTACGTAGAGTAGGACGGTATTATTCCGTCTCTCTAAAGAAGAAAGCCTAGGTCGGCCTATATAAGACTTAGAACGCAATCTAGTAGAGTAGGCTATAGTCTATTTAAGATTATTAGAGAAAACGTAAGAGGCTTTAAGATAAGAAGTAGATCTCCTATTAGTTATAAAGAGCTTATATAAGATAATAATAGAGCTTCTAATATAAGAGAATCGCGGACTTAAGGTTAAAGTCGTAATATCGAAAGAGTCGCTACGAAGAAGTAAAAGTATATAAAAGTACGACTAGTAATTAGAGTCCTATAATACTAGACGTAGAGGAGAAGAAGATAACGAAGATAGTTTGTATTAAAAATTATATCTTTATAGCTAAAGGAGTTAACGTAGTAGAACTCTAGTTAAATCTAATATACTTTTCGAAAAGTTATCTATATATATATTCCTACCTCGCTACTATCTATACTATTAATACTACGCCTCCTATATAAAATACTCTTTTAAAACTTCTACTCTAGCGTCTAGTAGGTATACGTTATTATACGTTAACTATACGATAAGATATAAATAGGCTTACGTACGTATGCGTATACGAATAAAGAATTAGGAGATCGCTTAAAAGAAAATCGGCTCTAATATCTCCTATCTCTACTAAGTAATATTATCGATCTACTTCACGTCGTAAATCTAATCTAGTATAAGTGTTACCGCTTAATTTATACGCGTAGTATTAAGAGAATCGATATAGATACGACGTAAGTTAGTATTCTCTATTATTATTTATAGGATTAGTAGTAAGCCTACGAAATTTTAAGTCTAAGTAAATAGATTAGGAACGAGACGCTTCTTATTATACGTAGGGGCCGCCGAAACTAACTACTTATATACGCTTTAAATAGCGACTCGATAGCTTTAGGCGTCCTCGTCGCTTAGAGCCTACGGTACGTAAAGTATTTTATATACGAAAGGAAAATATACGATAAAGCGGGCGTAGTAGAAACGAGTCTAAAGGGCTATAAGGAGGATATCTAAATTAAAGCCTTCGTCTATAGGACTTATATCGAGGTTCGATCTACCTCCTATATATACGTCTTACTAAATAGGATAGTAAAATTTCCTCGAGGGCTAGTATACTCCGCCCTCGCCTTATTAGTACTATCCTTAGTCTAGTAATAGTATCTATAATAGTACTTCGATATCGTTACCGTCGCTACCTACTATAGTAGAAACCTATAGAGTACTAGCTAAGAGCGTATTACCTCTCCTTTCGTCCTTATAGTCTAACTATTTAAGAAATTCTAGAAGTATATCGTACTAGGAATTTAGCTATTTAGCTATTTCGTTAAGATATCGTACTCGAGTACTATTATAAAAAGGAGCGTCCTCGTTAGGATCTTAGAGTACTATATATACCTAGGTAATTATCTAGTATAGAGCGATTAAAGCTAAAAAGTAAGTTACGTTAGATACTAGCCGCTACTTAATAGGGACTCTAGCGGTATATCTTTCGTCCTCTACTTCGTAAAAATAGGGTAGTAGTACTTAGTCTTATATAGCTAAAATACCCGTTTTAGGGAGGTCTAGGTTAATATAGAAGAAGTCCTCGCTTACTACGTAAGCCTAAAACGCCTACTTAATTATATCTCCCTAAAGTAATATCTAGTTACTAGAGAAAATATAGATTAACCTACGGTAGGCTATAGACGCTACCGTTATAGAATACTAGAACTCGACGTACCTAGCCGAACACTAAAAATAGATAGCTTAAAGTAAGTATACCTATATTTTTTCGAGCGTATAGCTAATAGCTATTATTCCTATACGCCTACGTACTTTATTAAAGATCGCTAGGCTAGGTAGCTATTACGTTAAACCGCTATAGATACCGCTAGGCTTCTAATCGATAATACTTATAAAGTACTACGATATCCCGTTAATAGCGATAGTACCTAAAGCGAAGACTAGAAGGGCGAGGATAGCGTAGTTATTACTATTAACGAAGCCGTTACGGAGGATAGATTATAGTACGTCGCTTTCGAACGTCGCGCGGTATAATATAGGATAGACGATATTAAAGGTATTAAAGTACGCTTCGGTATACTACTTTATTTAGTCGATATAAAGCTCTAAGAAGGTAACGCCTATACTAATCGCCTAGGTTTAATAGACGGGCGTTAAGCTAACGTCTAGGGGTAGCTCGCTTAGCGGACTCTTTATTTCTAGATTAATAAACTAGGCGGTACCCTACTAAACTATATCGTATAGGTCTAATACGTTACGCGCTACGGAGTATTATAGGTACTATCGTATAGCTAGCTAGAGGAGGATACTATATAGTATAGTAAAGGCTTTAGCTAGCTACGTAGGCGAGTACTAAGAGGTAATAAACTTGTACTTAGTAGCCTAGGTAGCGGACGAACCGTAGTAGCCTTATTTAAGCTACGGTATCTAGCCGCGTATATCGTAACTAGACCTAATAGTTTTCGAAGGCGAGATAGTCGTATATACCTATAGGAAAGTTTCGAACTTATCTTTAAAGCGACCGAGGCTATCTATAATAGTACCTATAGTATCCGTAAGTCTAGTAAGTATTAGAGGTTAGAGAGAGGTAAGCTACTATATACTATAAAAGGTATCGTACTTACTATTCGCCTATCGGTAAGCGATAGTCGTAATAGGCCGTTCGCTCTCGATAGTTACCGCCTAGCGGTAGTATTAGCCGATATTATACTATATATTCTACGTATTAAGGGATAAATAGGCTACGTACATATTAGACGTTACTCGTCGCATCTTAGTTTGCTTTAGAGACGATGCGGGTCAGTAGATTATTAATAGATTCGAGCACGCTTAGGGGCGGTCTATACCGACGACGACACGACTTATATGCCCGCGCCGCGATCCGAGCCCTTGCGGGCTGCTTAGAGAGACCCCGCGACGGTGACCGCGAGGACTTAGTTAGTAACATAGCCGATGCGTTGCGGTTCCCTCTCCTGCCGTAGACGCTGCGATGAGGTCGATAATCTAAGTCGCCATTCTCTGTCTAACATTCCAGCACAGCAGACGGAGCATTCTCCGCCCGCTCATAGCGACATCGTCGGCGGCTGCTCCGACACAACGAGTCAGCAGCAATGGCGTATGCTGCACCGCAATGCAATTTGGCAGTATCGGGTATAGCGAGTACCTTGCTTCTTGGCAATTAGTGGTATAACGGTGCTGAATAGATCTGCTCGTGACTGCGACGATTTCTGTAGGCTCCTGGGCGACCCTCCGCGTCAGAACAATCAGCACACTCACTGTCGCGGTCACGGTAGAACTGGACTGCGAAACACTATGAGCACGTTTCTGACGCGGTGCATCAACCTGAGTCGGCCGCGGCGACAGTTTTATCCACTTGACCTTCAGCGGCACGGGCGCGACGACCGAGCCCAAACAACCTACACTGTTATGAACAGATTGCGACGCTCCTGTTGACTTCAGTGAGTCTCGTGCACAGTTCACGCTCACTGACCCGAGTGATTGCTCCGCACCTAATCAACATGTTGACTGGCTCGGGCTCCTCATGCCGAACCTATTTTATGGAGCGTGAGTAGCGACTCGTTCAGAATGAAACGCTTAGAAAAGCACGTGATAGCGATAAGTAGCGGCGCCTTGCACCGCGAGTCATGATCTTTGACATTGTGATTCGGCAAAAGTTTACGAAGAGCTCACGCCCCTGAAGATCTTTACCTGTATCACACAGCTCGGCGCGATACAAGCTCCTCAACTTTTCGACAAAGGATTAATGGCCTTTTCAGGACATGGGGTAAGGCCGACTCCCCGGACTCACATACTTGTGTTCATAGGAAAAATTAGCTGGCTGGAGTGGCAAGCACTGTTTGCCTAGCTCACCACTTCATATCGTATTCAGTCAATCATGACTGGAAAAGCTCAGAGTCTGCGCACGTCGCTGACTCCGAGTGCCTGTCAAGGCTGTCGAATCTCCAAAGTAAAGGTTAGTCGTCGTCCATAGAGTCGGACTATCCCAATGCAATGGTACATTGTCACTAAAATAGGACAAGTGCTCCGGCCAACGCCCTTCTTGCACACGTTGCACTACACGAGGCCAAAAATGCTCATATGAGGTGGCTAAGGAGGGGTTGACTAAGAGGGAGTTCTTTCGCGACAAACACCAGGAGCAGCAAAAAGAACTCAAGGCGGCCTTAACCATTCTTGAGATTTTACGGGAAGGTAGTGATCAAGAGGCAGCAGCGACTCTAGCACGCTTGCGGACTGGAATGACTCTCACCGAGGAGTATGAGAAGATCCTTGCCAACAAGGCTTCTCAATTCAAGTACAGTCCGGCCGAGCAGGATGACCAGCTTGCTCGAAAGATAACAACAGCGGACCTTGGCCTCAACGAATACACACGGCCTTTTCTTCATTCCACCGACACCCCTTCCCTCTTTTCATACCCCGCGAGCCCACCTAGCCACTATCTTCCCAAAGAATACGCAGTGAGCACGCTTGCTCCTCTCTGGAATTATCTGGACGAACGACAGGCCCCAAATGCCTCGACGCAATTTTTCGACCTACAATTCTCAGCCTAGCGGATGTGATCACCAAGGACCATTAGCTATAGATAATGGGAAATCACGGCTTCGGAAGGCACATTCGGGGCGAAAACGAGAGATATTCATTGTCTACCACAGGTCCTGGACCAAAAGCGTTGAAGTATTCCGATGGCTTAGTCGGGAAAGTAGAGCATAAAAGCGGGCTGAAGGATATATATTGTTCAATCACAGTATTCGTTGCTCAGCTAATGTGTCTGTCAAAAGATTCAATTCAATTGCCACTCTGATCTCTTCCTTGCTCTGCAAATCAGCTCTTATTCGCTGAAAACCTGGGCAACACCATAAATCCGAAAAGTCGATCGGATTATGTCCACTTCTTTCCGGTAGAAGATATATTGTCAACTTTGCCAATCTTGGACATTCTAGAAGCTGTTGCAATATCTTGATGCGATGCCTTTCCAGAGAAGTGATGTAGACGTTATGTAAGGTGAGGGTTCCCAACGACAGTCTGCAGCGTTTTAAAGCGTTCATTAGACAAAGAGGTCTTATGTCGACGCTAACAAGTTCCAGATGCCGTAGAGTGGATAATTGGATAGTCGCTAACATTGTTGAGGTATATCTTAACATGGCGATTTCCGATCCCGGTTCGTAGTATAGCATGCTCAATGTCTCAAGGCGTAGGAATTGAAGACCTCTAGCATCTGCCAGGACCGGGATAGGTGCGCAGGAAGGATCTGGTCGAAGTATTTCGTCGTGGTTAAGAAATTTCCCAAGGTCCTCAATAAGGGGCGCCACGCTAAGGGCCTTGAGGTTCTGGCAAAAGCTCTTGAGTAGGGTGGAATAGCGATGCTTGTGGTAAGACAGCTTGGAGAAACTGATAGTGTTCAGACTGAGATCTGACGGGGTGCAAGCGGACTGAAGCACTGTCGAGAATAGATAGTCAACAATCTTGTTGGAGATTGAGCTATGGTTGTCACATGCTGGGTAGGTAGGATAAAACGGCTGCAAAGACAGTGCAAGCTCTACGCGATGTAAGGCTGCAATGTTGTGCAAAACCCCTAGCAGGAGATGTCGGCTCGGAAGATGTTGGCAATGCTTATTGTACTGCATGCCAATGTACTCTTTTCGAGCATCACACTGCTCGAGCCAGTGCCACTCAGATTCGTTCGGCTGATCATAATCTTGTTGTCGAGGCGCCAGTGCAATATGTTCTGCTGCCTTGGATTCAAGAGGGTCCAGCGACAATGTGATTTGCCTCACTTTGCGAGCGAGCTTTTCAGAAGATGTGATCGCGCGAAGTCTTTGCAGCCGTTGAGGGTCGAGTACGAAACACTCCAAGGTGTAAAGATATCGTCTGGCGAAAACATCGAAGACGGCTTGCTCGATGGCCTTACAAGTCAGCCGTAGCGTCAAGACGTCCACGTGTTCGGCGATGCTTTGAAGAACTTCGACCGGTACCATAACAATACTAGACTGACGTCTAAGACGAGTTGAGGTTTGCGAGTTGCCGCATAGTAGCCGCATAGCCGCCACCAGCATCTCATAACTTAGGATGTGATCGCAAAAGGTGTTCAATGAGCCTCATATCTTGTACTGTAATGCAGTCGTCTGATCGTGTTGAGGGGATCTTGAGATCAATGAAAGCACTGCGGCATGCCGCTGATCGCGGAGCGTTTGCCGCATCTAATGGACTATACTCCGAGATAATGCACTTCCCCAGCGATTGGTGCTCCCGTTTCGATATAGTTTGGTGGAGTCTGATCCGTCAAGCTCGTTAGAAGCTGCTTCTTTTCAAACCATCCTTTTCGATGAAGCAGGGGTGTACCTTGTACCTTGGCCAATCGATAGGTTTCCTTGTCGGGCCTCGAATGTGCGGGTACCGCTTGCAAAACTCTCGTGCCCCATCTTCGTCGCCACTGGTATACTTTGCAGGGTAAAATGTGATCGGGACGCTGTATCGCTGGAAGCGGAGGTGACTAGCAATGTTGTCATACTCACACATGTGAGGGCATCATGATGTAATTTTGGGGTCAAATGGACAGTGTCTTCCGAATCTTGCAGCGCGTATTATTTCACTGTATCTCTTTCATGCGTATCAACGGGCGGTGCCTTTCCAAGCTCTTGTCTCTCCCCCAAATCATTCAAGTAATTATCGTGCCCAAACTTTCAATGCTGATCATTTTTCAGCACGTGAAGACATGCGACAAGCTCCAAAAGGCACTCCAGAGCGAGACACCTACAGAAGCTCAAGAAACGCTCAAGCCCTTCCCGGGAAATGACGACTACCAAGAGCAGGTACGTTCAATTTATATCTATTGCCTGCTATGTTTTTGACTGCGTCGAAACCTCTGTGTGTGCACATGCATCAGAGCCATAAGATACTGCGAGTATTCAGCAACAAGCTCCTCGCTCACATAGACGTTATATCCCTCGTCCTGTTTGTTAACTTCCACTGAATCCCTTAGGGCCTTCGAAAAGGAAGGACAATCTCCTCTTGGACTTAGCACTGACACTGCCGAAGCAGCTGACTGCTTCTCGATCAAGCTTGCATGTTCTTCGATACTTCTCTCGAGATGTGCGGACGAATTTCCATTAAACGCTTTCTCCGAGCTATTCGCAGTCGACAGATCCGAAGCAGTGGCTCCACGCTCCTTTAAATAGGGACAGACACACTCAAACTCCTCGTGTGATTTGTCTTGTAGGAATCGGCTGAGGATGTCGTTGCTAGGTGAGTTCTGTAAAGGTCTTGCACCCCTCCTTTGGGGTGCCGTGGTCATCTGCTCGCTCGACTTCATCGCGTGTCACGGACAAATTTTTTTATGCTAGTAGTATTGACAAGATAGCTTTACGAAACTACACTATTTGGTGAGCTTCGCCAACTTCCGTGGGTAGTACTCAAAGTACATACGCTCTGTCCTGGTCTTGCAGAGCTGATCGCTGCTTGAGCCTTCGCACCTCTTTAAGTACTATCCCGTCGTTGCGTTCCTAGGAGTGGGTTTGCACACTTCGGTAAGACAGTACCATCTTGTGTGGTCAAAACCCGTCGGAAGTGAGGATAGGACAAGGTCTTATTACTACAGAACGCTCTACTACCCACGACGATGATGTTGGCAGCTCATTACTGCCTGATCACTGACTAGTCCTGTTCGGGCTAAGTCCAAAATTTTCGACGGAATGTACTCCGCTGAAAACTGTTCTTTTCATTCTTTTCTCCCTTCGCCGCTCGCTCCGCAACTTGCCCTCATGGCATTTCTCCTAAACAGGCTTGGATTGCACAGACTTAAAAAGATACTATGTCGAGCCAATCACGTTCCAGACGTGGTGGTCCTAGTCAGTCGCGACAGACAGCACGCGCTGCATGTGTCAGCTGTCGAGCCCGTAAGGATCGGGTACGTGTTTGTGCTTTGTAAAACAAGCTACACATGCTTAACATGTCATATATGTGTCTAGTGCGATGTTATCAGGCCTTCATGCACAGCATGCCGCATTCGTTCAATCACATGCCTGTATGAGACCAAAGATCCGTATGAGTCCAGAAGCGGTGCAATCCGTCGCGAGAACGATGAACTTCGGCAGGAGAATCAAGATGTTCGACTGGAGAATTCCACCCTACTATCTCGAATCGACATTCTTCGGGTTGAAAATACTGCTCTAATAGCTGAGGTCACAAGACTCCGGGAGTCGAGGACTCAGCCTCGAGGTGCGATGCCTAGCACCCAATCTCTAAGTCTAATAGATACTGGAGGAGACACAATGACTAGGTTCCCTAAATCCAATAATGGTTGGCGAATGGATAGTCCAGCCTCGACACCATCAGCGCGACTTTTCCAAGCATTGCGGATCCATGGCTTCCGAAGCGACTATGAACGGAATCTTCTAGCTCAGGCCACAGTCGCGACATTTTCATTCTACTCAGGAGCCACAACAGATCGCATGCGCGATCTTAGTATGCTACAGCAGCTTTTTCTCTCGGACGATCTCGTTCGTCAGTCCCTTCTTGCATGTTTTTCGGCAGTGCTTGGATGTACGCCGCAGCATGGCGAACTCAACCAGAAAGCATATGGCAATACGCTTCACCTTATACGAGCGCGAATACTGAGTACTCGATTCGATTGGCAGGACAGTATTGCTCTCAGAACAGCAATTAGCCATCTAGGCTTCATGGACGTAAGTATGTGCTCCAGCCCAGTTGCGACGTTCGACTAAAACGGTAGATAGTGTGTTGGCCCAAGGCCGGCTTACAATCTAACCTTACACTGGCGAGGGATGGCGGAACTCCATGCTCGTCTGCGCAAAGCGGATCTGGTCGTTCTCTCACCTCTCAATATCCAGTTATTGGAAGGCTTTTTGTACAACATTAGCTGCCTTGCGCTGTTCTCCAACGACGCACATGAATTGTACGCCATTTGGCGTCAGGCTGGTGTCATTGACTGCCTCGAGAAAGCCAATCTCGAAGGTTGCGATCGAGTCGCAAATTCGCCTCTACTAGCTGGAGAGTACAGGATGTACAATATGGTCCTCAAGCTGACTAGTCGACTTCGCTCCGATTCCGGTACCCTAGCATCAATACATTCCGAGGAGCGACTTGACGACCTGGAATCTGAGCTGGATTCTCTGACTACGATTGGCGCAAGACGATTGGCGGCGCCACTACCAGGAACCCTTCCAGTGACTCGACGGGAGGCGTTACTCAATATCCAGTCGAGCCTCTCGGCAGCCTTGTCGATTTGCCTGTTGACGCTTCGAGTTTCGGAATCGCCTTCAATAATGCCGAACGTGCCTGACTCTCAAATCATTTGTCAGAGTATCGATTATCTTGTCATGCGGATTCTCGACACGTACACGAAGCTTTCAACAACGGATATGTGCTTGGTCACCTTCATGTGGCCACTTCAGATCGCGGTCTGCGCTATGAGGCACGATGCGGACATCGAACTACTACAGAAGCACCTACCTGATATGGTGCAACGCCTAGATACAGGTCATAGTAGGCGACTGCGAGCAGTAGTCAATGCCACGCAAGCACTCCGAACTGAGGGTACAACCTGGTCGAATCAGCGACAACAACCACTATCCCTACCCCTTGGTCTCTCACTTCTACGTGAGCCAACTGGTGTGGCGTCGTAGATCATTACGAGAACGACCAAGCTGCGTTCTGCTCTTGAGCTCGCACTCAGCCTGTCTTCTTAAGTTTGGCCGCTTTGGACGGTCCATGGAGTCTGCGCTTCCTGTAAATAGCATTCTTCTGCGATATCTTATCGTCCTTCGCGATTTGGAACGATCTTATCGTACTCTAACTCGATCAACTTTCTGAGCTCTTAAAAGGAATTTTCGGGCGCGGATTCACCCCCATGCTCATAGAGTGTTCTGGTGCGAGACTGACCCTGGAGTTGTCCTTGTGAGTCACCGCGGCCAAAGACCAAACCGAAGTGTAGAGGACAGAAGGTATCTGTCAAGTCAGCGCATTCGTGGTGCCTGATCAAGAGCACGAACCAGGGACAGAAGCGCCCAAATGTCGTCCCAAGCCATCACCAGTGACTCCATATGAATCCCGTCCATCGCCAGCCTCCTGCTTTGCCAGCGGCATGCATATCTAACGGAAAAATCGACGAGAACGACTGACTGGAAGAAAAGCTGCGGAACGATGCGAGTCGAAAGCATCCCTACGTCTTGAAGGCGGTGAGGAATCTTCTGATGTGGAGAGGAAAGGCACTAGTTATGTCCTGCATACCGCCTGCACCGAGCTTACCTTCGACTGGATAGACATCGTGATGCAGACGAGCGAAAGGGTCCTGTGCCGCGAGCAAGTTGTGTCTGATGCAATCTACAGATTGCACGAGCACGAGTGTATTGGAAGACGGAAAAGGCCAGGCCCGTGGGCAAGCGTTTCCCGCGGAAAGCTCTGCCGCTGATCCGACATTTGCCAAGGACCATTTGCGACCGGTCGCAAATCGATCTTGGCGCTGGTTGCCTTCTTGACCCTTCGATACTGAACCACCATCTAGAAATCCACCCACAATGGCCGGCTTCGCTACAACAGAGATCACTGAGGTGCAGTATTGAGGAGTTCAATCTCATGAGCGCCAGCTTACGGCAACAAAGGGCTACCGTGCTACGGTGAAAAGTTTCATTCGCTTTCTTCATGACTCCAATAAGGACCTGTTCAACTACATCAAGACCTGTGTCACAGAATGCGAAACACTAGCACGGACAAAGTCAGGCAAGAGTTTAACAAGAAGGGCGAAACAGAAAGCAGAGGATGCATTGTCTGCTGCCGCATTGCAGCTCCTCACGGCTAAGGCTCAAGATCTCAACAGCCTGAGCACGGCGCAGGAGAGAGTGTCGGCGGAGACAAATGTGGGTGAGCGAGGACGGCTACTTGCGGCAGCCATCGAGGAGAGTGAATTGAACAGCTTCCGAGCGTCTCGCAATCGGCGTGTGCTGTTACTCTTGGTGCGGCATGACGTGCAAGTTCTTCAGAAGACAAGCGATCCTAACAACAAACATGATGCTGCCAAACAACAGTACGCTCGAGATACCGGACTCCCCCTCGAACAGGTCCGTCGATACTGTCAAGATGGGTCGAAGTATGAACTGCTTTTGCAGGACCTGGGCCCTGGCATAATCTTCACATTAGGGGCAGGGAAAACATTGTTGGTCCTAGACGGTTGAACCAACTGATATCAAACTAATCAGCTCACAGATGGGAAGAGCGACGACTTAAGGCAACCGATCGGGGGAAAGGGGAATTCCAACGGCAAGGGCAACACGCTTTCACCTTCCAAAGAGAACAACTCTCTAGCAACCTCTTCAGCAAAGACTATATAACGGATGTCTGAACTGCGGACAAAGGCGTCAGTTGACTATTGGTGATGTTTCAGCTAATTCTTAGCTCAGTTGGACTTGCTGTTGTGAGCTACGCCCTCTCGCTGAACCGAGTAGGATTCAATCGCCTCAGGGAAAGGCGATACCGGCACTGATTCGTGCATGTACAGTGACTAGTTACATAACGTCTCTCCCTATGTCGCGGGACGCACTATGTCCCGGGACGCATCCCTAAGAATCCAATTTTGATTTGCCTGTCGTATCTGTTACTTCTCCCTAATGCACTAGTATTCCTTCACAATACGCCCGAGTTTTGTAAGACAACATGTGTCGTACGTGGGTCCATGATCCGATTCGTTGTCGTCGTCAGGGTTGCCTTAACCTTGGGTCGCGGTTTACTCGCCTCTCTAATGCGTCACTGGCTTCTTGGTTGAAGAAGGACATCGATTGGCGTTTAAAGAGGCTGGGCGTAAAGATTGGAGGGATTCTGAGATGATTAGATGGTGTTATTATCGAAAAGGATGCGAAATAGTAGCTCAAAGAGTGGTCCCTCCCATTCTTACCTCTTTCCTTTCGTAGTAAATGCTTCACTACATGGATAACGCAAGCCGAGCACTAGCGCAGACACTCTGTACATTATAATCCATCGCTATGAAGAGGCTTTTTCTTCCTCCCCACTTATACACACCTCCCGGCGGTCCCGCAATACCGTAAAGATGAAAGATGAGCCCAAGCTTTCCCTCCAGCGCGGCATCAGTATCAATAATGAAGAAGCCTGCGAAGGGACCGCGCCCGCATAAGTTACTGATCACTAGACTCCACCTCTTCTGACAGAGGGCGAGAGCCTATCGCACTGCGCATGCCGCACGTCGTTCAAGAACCTGGTGGATCAGCGACGGAGATGCATCCGCGCTTCGTCGGAGCAAACACCGCCTCCGCGCGCCTCTGATTGTTCACAGTCAAGACCCAGGTCTGGCCTTGCTTAATCGTTCTGAGCTTCCAACGTTTTCACACTGCCACATTCTTGAATATTGTTCTTGCGCTCCATCGAACATGAGTAATGCAAGTTGGAAGGGTGGTCAGCCACGACGAGCGCAGGCTGCGAGCGCATGCCGTGCCTGCCAAAAGTCCAAAGTGAAGGTAAAACCCCCGCACTTTTGTTACCAAAGTGTCCACAACTGACCGAACCGGCGCTCAGTGCTCGGGCGAACGATCTGAGTGCGCTCGCTGCCGAACCCGTGGGATCGCTTGCTCATACGAGGTGCATAGAGAAGGAGAAACAAAGAGAGAGTTTTTGCTGCGGGAGGGGGCCGAAACTCGAAGGCAACTGGACAGAGTGAATTCGATCTTAGACATCATGCGTCACGGCACTGATTTCAAGGCCACTGAGACACTGGCTCGTCTTCGTTTCGGAACGACTCTCGAGGACGTGATTGCGAGCGAGAGTGACGCTATATTGTTGTCGGATTGCCAATCTCAGCACTCGTGCTCTCTATCAAAGGGTAGTACTGAGGCTAAAGAGTCAACATCTCAGACAACTCTTACCGATGGCAGGGTAGCGGATTTCGTGGATCCATCGCTATCTTGATTTGGCGCGTAGTCATTCTTTTTCTCGCCATATAGCTACCGTGGATTAATCCAATAAACAAGTGATTATGACGAGTGCGGCACACTGCTTAAAAGCGAGAAGCTAATAAGTCTTCCAAAACATGACTTCTTTGCACAATGTGAGATACATCGGCTATTTTCCGCCACAGTGGCTTTACTGGCAGTGCGTCCCTTTACGAAGGGAGGGACGTTACCTGACTTTCGTGAGATAACATGCTTCGTGTGTGGGTCGATGATCCGATTCGTTGTCGGCGCCAGCATTGCCCGGACCCTGGATCGTCCTTCACTTGGCTCTCTGATACGTCACTGGCTTGTCGACTAGCATGGAAATTAATTTGCATTTAAAGAGGCTGTGTGGAAAGTCTGCAGGAGTTCTGAGACGAGTAGATGGTGTTGTTCTCGAAAAGAATGCAAAATGATAGCTCAGAAAGTGGCGTCCGAAGTGGCGTTGTGGCGCTGTCAGTGACCATGCCTGTGGCACTGTCAGAGTTCTAGAAGTTTCGACAGCCGGGTCACCATGTCGCTAGCGCACCAAGCGCGGCGTCCCGATTCCTTGTCTCTTCGAAACTGGATTGGACACGATAAAAGTCAAAGCTTCCTTCCGGCGCATTGGCCAGAAGCGCGCGACGACTACATCTCTCGCCACCACCCATTATAGACTGGCCACTGCGAGACGTTGGGCTCCATCAAAGTTCAGACAGCTAAGAAAGATAAGATGCTGCACCACAGCATCGACGCGGAATGTCGGAAGAAAGCAGCGCCTTGAAACAAGAGGGCGCCGGATCCTCAATGCGTGCAGGCAAGAGGTCGACAACCTTAGCGGCATGTCGTCGCTGCCGCCAGCGGAAGAAGCGGGTGAGGGACTTGCTTCATTATCACTCGCGACAGACAGGTGACTGACATTGCACCATAGTGCGATGGCAACCGGCCCACCTGCTCTGAGTGCGAAAGATCAAATATTGCATGCGATTATAAAGCTGTCGCTGCAAACGAGACCAGAGGTCGTGCAGCCAGGCGACACACTGCCGCGCTGCAGATGCAACTCGACGAGATTGCCGCGAGCCTGACTAGACTGAAGTTGATGTCCCATGACGATGCGGTGTTCTATCTGTCCACTCTAAGGTCGGCCAGTGACCCGGTTACTGTACTGCGATCGGTGGGCAATGGAATTCCCACATTGCCAGTATCCGTTTCGGAATCTTCCAATATTCTCAGAATACTCCATTCCACGCGGACGGGACTGGATTGCGCTCTTGGGCTGGAGCATCCGAAGCTCTACCCTCTACTTCCCATGGAGACTGGCGCGTCCAAGGAGGCCGTTAGTCAGGAAATCTCACCAGCGTCGCGAACGAGGTATGAGCGAGTCACAAAGTTTGCACATCTGCGAAGTTTGTACTAACAACGGGATCTATCAGCGTACAAGAATCTCTCATTTCCGGCGACGAAGAGCCGAGGTCAAGACTCTGCGACGAGCGCTTACGCAACCTGGACATTTCATATTGGTCCCCAGTTCCTATTCCCAATGACCTGGAAGCTCGGCTTCTATCCTGTACCTCGTGACTGACCATCCGCTACACTCGCCCTTTGATGCCAATCTGTTTCTCGACGACCTGACGACTCGCATGCTAAGGTTCTGCTCGCCTCTGCTCGTTAACTCCATCTTGTTCTGGGCTTGCGTGAGTCCAAATACACCCCTACAGTGCACAGTCCAGATGCAGAAATCGCTGACAGATTCGATAAGACAACCTATGCTGCGGTCGAACCGGTCGCAGTCTCTTTCGCAGGCCACTTCAGAACAGCTGCTCTACGGCTTTCAAAAGCTCTGGGAAACGATGAGTCAATCATGAACGTTGCCTCACTGTTTTGCTTAACAGTTGGCTCTATCTGTTCTGGCGACGATGCTGGCGCGAAAGACCATCTTCGTAGCTCTCTGCGGATGTCCGTCGCCCTGCGACTGCATGGCAAGGACAGTGCTGACCCAACAGAATTGGGCCTATTCGCCCCCGATTGGCTCAGTGCATATTCTCATGTTGCTTGGAGCTCCTATAACTTTTGTTGGTGTGTGTCACTTATCTCGATAGTGAGGACTAGCTAATGATCGTTTCTAGTATATACATCTCCCACTATCGAAGCAAAGATTGGATGGATTTCGTGAGTAAGCCACCGCTACTGCCAATCCCAGGTTCAGAGACTGCATACTCGCTGTACCCAGCAGTTAGCCCGCCATCAGACTTCATGGGTCACACATTCACACAATACTGTACTCTGCTGCACATCAATCGAAGCATTCTGTTTGCATATCTGGATCCAGAGAGTCCTGCATCTCAAGGCCTTCCGCTCTCATTCGCCGAGGAGAGGTATCAAAAGCTGCTGGAATGGGCGGATCGACTCCCTGCGGCACTCGCTTTGTCGAACGACACGCCGCATCACGCGGCAATCCTGCAGTGAGTACCTGCGTTCTTTCTTCAACCACATCACGATTCTGACCAGATCAGCATGTCTTTCCATTCGATGGTCATGGAGCTTTTCCGCCCCTTCCTAGGCAGGAAGTTGAGACTTGCGTGGTTTCCGTATCCTGGCACTGCACCAGAAGAAGTGTTCGTATCCTCCGCTAACCGCATGGTCGAGCTTTTCCGCTTCTACCACACCAAATTCAAAGACACATCGTTCGCTCACACGATTACGTGGCTTATCGCACCCGTCTACACCGCACACATATCCCTTAAAGGCGTCGCAGACACTTTTGACCAACGACGTCTGGACTTCCAATTGTGCGCAGATGCCCTCATGGGTCTCGGCGTGGTGGCCCCTATGAAAGAAAGTATCGTGAGGGGAATCATGAACATGGCAATTCAAGGAGGGTTGTTTGACGTAAGAGAGTCGAAAAAGGTGCTGGCGAAGGTATTCGAGGGTCATGCACAGTAGGAAGTCAACGGAACGACATTGACGATTGACTTCGAGAGAGCGATGGACGATCCAACTGGATCGACTGTGGACGCTTTTGCTGCGTGGGAGTATCCATCTCCCGCGGAATATGGTACGTGAGACGGCTACGTGGACCATCATGCCTCGCCCCGGTCTATCGACAGAATACAGGCAGCCATCAGCGTCTACACGCTCGAACCCGAGATTTCGGGAGCGCTTCATCTACCGGAAACATATTGCGGTCCCATCCTCCCGCTCGTGCATCCATCTTGCATGATGCAACACCTTCCGACCCAAGATTCTAGACATTCGCAGCAAACGCAGCACAACATGAACGATGCCAGCCGGGCACCAATGCAAGGTCCTCCTCCCGATGTATCCAATTTATATCGCGCCCTTGCAGATCACAGCGGGTGCCGCGCTCCATACCGACGAGAAGGCCAGAGCCAACAATGTCTCGTACTAGGCGAAAAAATGGCTTTGGCCGGCTTTCTGCTGCCGAAGCCCAAGGTGCTCTCACAGGCAGGACGTGGTATGTCTAATGGTAATTTGCCATAGATCTGTCTTGATCCATTTTCACTACTACAGTAAGCGTGAGCCATGGAAAACCCATCTTCCACACGTGAAGTCACCGTCATGCGAGTGCCCCCTGCGCTGTTGCCTAGTTACGGAATACGGTATTGACCCGAGAATCGGGTGAGCCACATCAATCGTGGCTGGGAACATGAGGACAACGAGCCACTGTGGCTTGCTGTCCCGCGACGCAGTGCGTCCCCTGACACAGGGAGACAAGTTACAGCTAAAACGTCGGATGTTGCCACCTCTTTCTCAGTAATGGACATCCGGGATAGTGTCGTTAATACATTAGGACAGCCGGGTCCTAAGTACAAGCAAGTAGCTAACGAGGCTACTTCTACTCCTCTAAAGCTATATAACGAGACTACGCGATTTCTTAAGAAATTATATAAGCTAAAATATATAGGAAATACGCTCGTAGACTATAAAGAACTACGCGACGAAGTTATACGCTAGACCGAGCGAGTTTCGATATATATTATAATATTAGTAGAAGTTATTCGAATCGTTACTATTATAAGAGGTTAGGAAAATAAAGGTCTAAAGTAAGTAAACTCGGATTATAAGTAGATTAAATTTAAAGCTATCGCGAAAGCTATAGAGGATATAGAGAGTAGCGGGAAGAAGAGGAAAAAGCCTAGTAGAAGTATTAACCGGAACGAGAAGTAACGCTAGCGAGACTTTACGACTATAGTAGCTTTATAGTCTCCTAAATTAGTTAAGTACTATAGATAGGAAACTACGAGCTATACGTATATACGATTACTCCGTAAGTATACTCGAGCCTACTCCGATTTTACTAAGGATTTTCTACCTTCCGCGAATATAGTATTAGTAGTATAGTAGCGAGCCTCGCTCTAGAATAGTAAAGTAAAAACTATAAAAGAGATAAGAGCCTATAATATAAATACTAGACGGCCGAGTAGGAAGCCTAGCCCTACTAGTCGATACTCTCTAATATTTTAAAATCTATATTACGTATCCGACCTAGTTAAAATAGCTAAAGTAGAGATATATAGAGAGTAGCTTTCGTAATTATCCGTCGATATAATCGACCTAGACTTATAGGTTACTAGCGAGGATAGCGAGATTCCGATTAGGGAAGATACGACTCTATATAGCTTATAGCTTTAGTACTATAAATAGTACCTACTATAACCCGATAACTTCGGCCTACTATAGAATAGAAAGGATATAGAAGACGTAATACCGAAGAAGAAAGTATTAGTAATTCCGAAGAAAGTATCCTCTATCGATAAGTTATATTAGTAAGCTACGAAAAACCTATATAGAACAAGTTAGCCTTCGAAAGGTATAGTAAAATTATCTATACGCTAAAAAGTACTTACGCTAGATACTACAGCCGCGGATTAAGACCTTAAAGTAGAACCTATAATTAATACGACTACTTCGTATAGCTATATTACTCGGTAGTCTTCTATTAGTACTCTAACCCTACTTATATCTACTAAATCGTCGCTAGAAACAAGTTCTGCGAAGTCCTTAAGAGTCTTAGATCTATTCTAGGTATACTAAAGGACTTTAAGTATCGAAGAGAGCCTATATAATAAATATTACGAAGAGATCTAGCTCTATATAGCGAAGCTACAAGACGAGTCTAATTAAAGCGATATATATAGCGTACGAGCCGCGTAGCTAACCTAGGCTATAAAATAGGCTAGTATCTAGACTCTGCCCGAGTACGGCCTTAGTTTTAGCTTTACTTTAGTAGAGGAAAGTACGGATGTCTATTACTATACTTCGGATTACTTCCTATAGGCGGGTAGGTAGGGCGATATATTTACTAAACCTATCGTTATTAAAGAGGTATTCTTAGACGGTAGTATAAATATAGTCTATAATTTCCGATTACTACTTAGGGATATATTCTATAATAA